TTTACATCATTTTGCACATTTTTTTTTTCCATCTCGATTGTAATCCCCGCGGGTTTCCCATCACCAAATCACCCCTGTGCCACCACCATAGTCCCGTGCACCATGTGTGATTTTTTAAGTGATTCTTGAAAACTCTTGCAGCTGTGATGTTCGTAACAGAAACAATGGAGAGTTTTATGAGATGGTACAGAAAAATCTCTGTACCCACGAGTGCAAGGCCAGGAGTAACAGAATTGATTCACAGCTTTTGTAAATAAGAGAAGATAAGCAAGTGCAGATTAATAAGAACTTGGAACCCCAGTTTTAACATGTGTTAAAGTTTAAGTGACTATAGGAGTTAGTTGGAGAACCACAAAGACTGACTCTTGAACCTCTTCCCTTCTGTGTTTATATTCTCTGCCCAGGTGAACTCACTCAGCCTCAAAGTTTTATTTATTTATTTTTAAAGATTTATTTATTCACGCATACAGAACTGGGATACAGGCCAGAGCTGTGAGGGTGAGAGGGTTTACCAGAGACAGAGTGGGGAGCAGAACAGGCAGACTGATGAAGTATACTGCTGAGGGGAGCAGCAGGAGAAAGAGGAGAGGTCTGCCATGCCATGTGGTCACCTTCTTGGCTGGAGATTGAACTGGTACTGCAGTGGCTGCAGAGAGCCTCATAGCACTGTGCTTTAACCCATTGTGCCACCAGGGAGGTCCCTTAGTCTTCAAGTTCCAAATACCTTGTATTGGTGTTTGATTTTCTTATCTCCAATTCAGATTGCTCCCTAATACAATAGTTCCATATATGCAACTGCCTGCTTGGTTCTTTCACTTCGATATTTTAGAAGCATCTCAAATCCTCCCCTGTTTAAAAAGCTGAGCACCTTGGTCTTCCTTGGTGGTGCAGTGCGTTAAAGCACAGCACCAAGAAGCTAAAGCCACTTCAGCATGAGTTCGATCCCCACCCCAGAGGTGACCCACATGGCACAGCAGACCGCTCCTAATCTGCCCGCTGCTCCCCTCAGCAGTGTACTTAATCAATCTGCTTGTTCTGCTCCCCACTCTGTCTCTGGTGAAGCCTCTCACCGCCCCCTGCACCTCTGGCCTGAACCCCATTTCCGTGTGCATAAATAAAGTTCAACCTTGCTCCTCTTAGTCTATTCTTAACACTGTAGACAAACTCATTTATCTTAATAAGCTGTCATGTCAGCCTCTGAGCTCAAAACCTTGCAGTGGTTTTCTGGTCTTACTTCTGAGTAAAGGCTATCAGATCCAGCATCGCATTACCTTTCTAATTACATCTCCACTTCTCAAACCTCCCTCCTCCCTGAGCTGTCATTTCACTCCTCCTTACAATTACTCTGAAACATGCCAGATACTCTTCCACTTTAATTTCTTTGTTCTTGCTATTATTCTCATTGCCTGAAATCCTCTAAGATAATTTTAAGTAGGTATCTTAGCTCCTTTAGTTTTTAACCAAAGATTACCTCCTTTTGAGACTTATCCTGCTCATATTAAAATTGTATAGTACCCACTCAACACTCCCTATTTTCCTTCTTTTTCTTTATGCTTATCATCAAGCATATTATATAGTTTACTGATTTTTTTGGTCTGTTTTGTACTGCTCTATTCCCAGCACTTCAAACTGTTTCATACATATTGGCATTTTTATGATACTTCATACTGTTGTTGAGGACTCAGTATATATGCATGCATGAATAGCTAGTTTTATGACATATCTGGCAAAGTTACCTTCTTACCCATAGTTCCTGTTTTGCTGAAATACTTAGACTATCTTAGACTGTGGCCTCCTCTTCCTTCCTCAATGATCCCAGCACTAAATTTTACCATGCTTTCATTTAGGACCCTCTACAGCCTTTCCCAATCAGTCTTTTTCGTCTGAATCACAGAACACAGAAAATGGTACCAGAGATTATTTTTTCATTCTCCAAAGGATGGTTCAATAACTAGTACTCTTCTAGAAAAATGAGAGAAAAGTTAATTATTGTATTCAGTGTATCTTTCAAAGCATTAGGGCTTAGTCCTAGTGCAATCCAGTTTGAAAAAAAAAAAAACTAATAATCCCAAAAATTATTTAAAAAAAAAATTTCTAAAAACATTCCCGAAGCACAAAATCTCATAAAAAACAAATTAACAGAAGAGACTTTTCTTCAATGTCAAATCATCCCCATTGATATTTTTCTGAAAAAGTTGTCATCGCTGTGAGTTAACTGGTTAGGGATAAAGAAGGACTGAATTTCTTAGTTCATAATTATTTCATATAAAATTTGAAATATTTTCAGGTAACAAAGATTTGTTTGTTTATAATTTTTCATATATGAATAGCTTTTCACATATTTCTAGAGTGTTTTTCAAAGTAATCTGCTGCACATTGACACACAGGTCCCTACCATTATTTCCATTACTAGATGACTTGATTGGATCCAGAGGAACAGAACTTCCTGACTTAAAATAGCCTAAATAGGACTAATTCAACCAGGACTCTGACTGTTTCTTTCCTAGCATTAATCCATAATACCATGCTGGTAGGAAGCAATGCTTAATCAAGCTTGAGCCACAGAACATATGTGTGTGTGTTCTGTGGGGTTGATTGTGATTTGGTGATTCAGCAACATGAGTTTTGATACATCCTATGGTAAGGTGTCATTATGCCTTACACTACTTTCCTACTAGAAATTAAACCCTTATTTTCTGGTGGTAGTTAGAGGACTTTAGGGGGAAAGGAGAACATGGAAGAGAGGGGATCTCTTACACTAACTGTTTTACAGTTGAATTAAATTGAAATGTGATGACTTAACCTATAAGAAGTGAAACTAGAGCTAAGATATCAAGCCTGTACTTCAATATGTTATTGCCTTAGTTAATGATTACAAATACTTTAGACATGATGCAAGCTTGTGTTTATGTGTTACTTCCCTAAATTTTCCTTAAAAATCTAGTGATTTTTAATTATGTTCACTTCAAATAAAATAAATGTTTTTCTAGTTCAGAAATAACCTTTCCACTGTGTTTGTAGAGATACCACCCTCTTACTCTGAGTCTGTCTGCCATTTTGCATCCACATATTAGCATAATCTAGACAACTGTACTATTGGTTCTCACCAAATAACAAGTCTGTATAGTGGACTCTTTGAAAACAAATTCATTTTTGCACAAATAAACATGTTAATTGAATTAACTATAATATGTCAAATACAGTTAAGAAAATATAATGTCATTTCCCCCCAGCTTTCAGAATAGGGAAGTGGTATGTTTGTTTCTTTTTTTTTTTCTTTGAGTTGTAAGAAAATAACCTGAGCTAAAAATTGGAGTCCTTCTCTCAAAGGGAAATTTTTGAGGTTGCTTGTTTTAGTTTGCCCTGACTCATTATTGAAAGCTGACGAGACATAGAAGAGTAGCACCATGTAGCACCATATGGGGTAGTTTGGACTGCAGGTTCAACCCTTTAACCACTGCTAGTCAGCCACCCACTGCTTTAGGTAGATTAGAAGATGATAGAAGTAGGAAGAAAAAAACTTAATGATGGTGTATGTAGGTCATTATTTTCCCATTTAAAATCTTAAAGCTGAGTAAGAACCATTGAAGATGCCTTATCAGGTTTTGAATTAATCGTAATGAAAACTATATGCAAAAGCTAAAATAAATATCAGGCATTCTGTTGAGTGCATGATTACTTTACACTAAATGCTTCACTAAACACCTTACTTATCTTACTTAATCTTCTCAACAACTTGATTCTGACAAGTCATGTCTCCTATTATTCAGTCTGCCTCATAGCACATATTATGATCATGTGGGGAAAAAAACTAATTTTTTTCCTTTATTGAGATAACATTGGATGATTTAGGGGAATAGATTCTTACCGCCCAGATATATGTTATCAGGAAAAATTCTTGATTTTGTAATTAGTTGTTTTGTGCTTATGCAAGTCACCTACTAGACTTTATGGAAAATGCCATAAAGATAAAGACAGTCTATATCTGTCCTGTATGCTCAGCACTTAGATTGTCTGGCACAACAATTGATATACAGTAAGAATGTGTTGAATGAGGCCCAGGGACCTACCGACACAACCATGACAGCACCAAGACCATGAAAAAGGCACCAGTCATCATCAAGAAGTGTGAACCTGGGCGATGGTGACTTCCACACCAACAAGCCTGTGCAAGGAGAGCGCAGGTATCCCCAGCAAGAAGCCCCACGACAAGCTAGGTAGGCATGTCAAATCTCACAAAGTGGATTTGGAGAGACCTGGTGAGAGGCATCTCTGTCGAGCTGCAGGAGAAGGAGGGAAAGGAGAGACAATTACGTACTCCACGTTTCAGCCCTGGATCAGAAGATCATTGAAGCAGATCCTGACACTAAGGAAATGCTGAAGCTCTTGGACTTGGCAGCCTCCTGTCCAACCTGCAGGTCACCCAGCCTGTACCTCTGGAGCCATGTGAATCTTCTGCTGTGCTATCATATTTTCAATGAATTTCACACCATAACATAAATTTTTGAATGAACAGTTTGACTGTAAATGAGTGAATACATGAATGACGTCACAACTCTATTAAACTGGTTCTGGTGTTGCCTCTACTTTATTATACCCAGAAACAGACTAAGATTTCAGCCCATCTCTCTGAGTGCAGAACACGAACACTTAACCACTAAGTGGCCACTGGGGAATATAAAACTCATCATGACTCTGGAATAAGAATTGAAATTTCAGGGTATTCTGAATGCAAACACATTGCTCCAAAGCAGTTATCCTACAAATTTGGATCTGGACTAGGGGTGACTATTATATTTCCCCTCTCTGATGATAGAAGCCTCCTGAAGCCTAAGCCTCTAACTCATAAGTTATTTCTGACTATTGATTAGTGAAACAGATGACTGCCCAGAAAGCTGTTTCTGGGCCCTGTTGCCAAAGGTACTTTGAGCTCTTGCCCACGCTAGGAGGGAGAACCAAAAATTTTGTGTACAGATTAGCTCCTTTTAAGAACAAAAGTCCCTTTGGGGATTTACTAATTCCCTCACCTCCCTTGGTGCCCATGTTCATTCTTGTTGCCTCGTGTTAGGACTTTGCTCCAAGGCGTTTTTCCAGCTCCAGGAGAGCTACTCGGGCACCTGCTGCCCAGACATTTTGCAGTGCCTTGACTGATTAAGTGGGCAAGGTCAGACTTGCCTTTTACAGCTCTCCCAGAGATAGACCTTTTGCTAAGAAATCCCAGAAATGCCTTAATTCTCTGGATATAAGTAGATCAGAGCACCATAGGCCCTAAGAACATGGAACTTCTGTCGCTTTCTTCCCTAAAAGTGATATAAATATCTCTTATTTCATTTATATATAATACATATGATGTGTATATATATATTTTATATATTTACAAAATGCCTTAAAGATAGTGCTTTATGACCTCCCATCCTTACTCCCTTAAAACAAAACTTGGAAGACTACTTAGGAAGATTCCATTCTCAGATACTTAAACATAAAGCAAGGAAGGAAATTTATTCAAATCACCCAGCAAATGAAATTATATAAAGACTAAAAAGACCTCAGCTAAAGTAGCAGCAGAAACTGTTTCCTGTTAGCTACAATTAAAAGTCTAATTGCAACTGAGATGGGAAAATGTACAAAATGATGTAAAAATAAACTATTATATTATAAAGTAAAAAAAAATTAAAAAGAAGTCTTAGACCTTTCATCCTTTAGTATATATTGCTAAATGGATTCGTTTTCAGAGTATTATACCAAAAGAGGATTATCTGCATCTTTGGGAATCAAAAATGCCTAATGCTGGATCCACTGAGTCTGACAAGAAGGGAAAGAATCCTGGTTTATATTTTGTCAGTGTCTGATAGGCGTACACTCATCGTTCAGCTGCATCAGAGGCAGTCTTTAAAAAAAGGAAATCTCTGTTATATCAGACAGACACTTTTTGTGTGGTCTATTTTCTCATGAGTTTCTTGTTTTTTCTAGGACTTATCTATTGAGCTATTGTATTATACTACAGATTACATCAGGCATTTTAGCAACAGAGAAAGGTAGCTAAGATCCCAGAAGCTCATAGGTTAATGATCATGATCTTGCATTAAGGACCATCATCTTTGGTGTAACCTCTCTTTTTGAATATCCAAGGACGTTTGCACATTCCATGATTCCCAGTTGATGCTATCCTGGAAGAATGTCTTTGGCAACCTCTCTCAACTTCCCATCCTGTCCTGTGGATTGTACTTTCCATAGGAGATGATTGAGACAGTTGCATGGTGCATTTAGGTGCTTACCAGATGTGTCAGTTTGTGTGGTGCTAGATGATTAGAGAATCTCCATTTCGTTCCATGGTCGGAGTTTAAAAGGATGCTATTTTTTTTCCCTGAGGGATTTTTATTCTTTGTTATAGCGGCCTCATATACAGATAGCTCTGATGATGAGACATCTCCCAGGGACAAGCAACAAAAGAACTCCAAGGGAAGCGGTGACTTCTGTGTCAAGAACATCAAACAGGCAGAGTTTGGACGGAGAGAAATTGAAATTGCTGAACAAGGTAAAGAGAAGCAAGCAACTTTCCCTTCTCAAACTGCCTGTGTCTTTTTATCCATGTTAATTCCTTTTTATATCCTGGGGTCCAGTAGCTTGTGAATTTCAGTGTGATATTGAAGAATACTTGACAACAAAATAAATCTGAGCTACGAAACAGTGTGGGGAGGGAGTTAACTCTGACAGGGCTAGAAAGAACCCCTAACAAGAAAAAGAGAGAAAACCTGGGTAAGGAAGACTGGGATATAGGAAATCCAAACCCAGGAGCAGTTGTCTTTAATGGTGCCTTCTAGAGGAAAAATCTGGTTTGATGTCTTGATCCCTTGAGAAACCTAATCTAACGAAAATTTGATCAGGAGGAGGATCTTACCTTTAAAAAGTAAGTCTTTCTATTTGTTTTTTACCGCTCTTTCCTGCCTCTCTAATACTGTTGTGTGTATATTGGCCTTTTCAGAAATGCCTGCACTGATGGCTTTGAGGAAGAGAGCTCAAGGAGAAAAACCTTTGGCTGGAGCCAAAATTGTGGGTTGCACACATATCACTGCTCAGACTGCTGTGAGTTCTTCTTTCTCCACATAACAATAGTTAATAACAGCTACCACCAGAAAAATAAATAATAGCTACCAGCTTATAAACCAATGTTATTTCAATTTTAAAAAATTAAAGAAAAATAGCCACAAGCTATTGCATGATTGTAACATGCCAGATACCAGGTTAAGAGTTTAACAAGGATTACTAAATTCAGTAATCCCCATAATGGCTACATAAAGCAGTTATTCCTGTTTCTGTTTTATAAACAAGGAAGTCAAGACTCAGAGATCTTAAGTAATTGACGCCCAGTTCTATAGCTAGCTAGTGAATTACAGAACCAGAACTTGAACTTCAACATATCTTATTCCCAACCTTGTGCTTTCTCCACTGTTCTACACAGCTTCTCCTTATCTTCCCTTCCAGTGTCATTTCTACAAGGTAACTGTGTTAGGCTGCTTTCAGCCGAAAGTAAGAAAAAAGCTGACCAACCTGGCTTGTCCATAGAGGACTTCATAGCTGGAAGTCCATAGATACGGCAGACTTCAGATGCATGACCTCAGCACTCCAGTTTCATGTGGAGTCTTAGGCCTCTTGGACTTGCCTCCTTGTTGTACTTACTTTATCGCCTAGTAGCAAGATGATTCCAGCTCTTCAAGGCATCACAAACTAGCATGAATGGGAAGGAAGGACCAAAGGTTTCAAGGAAACCTTTCCCAAAAATCCTCCAGGGTAGGCCGTCATACGTCACTAAGTAATAGAACCGGGTTACATGCTCAGCCCACTAGTCTTGGCAGTGAAACTTGACCATGATGGGCTTAGATCAGTGATTCTCACTCCTATCAAGGTCATTGTTCCCTTTTTATAAAAAAAAAATGAGGTATTTGCAGTACCTCATGTTGTTTTGAAATGAAAGTCATATGTGATGTGTCCATGTACATACAATTATACAATTTTCTAAAAAACAACATGAAGTTTTAAGTGAAATAGGAGAGGAATAAAAGGAAAGTTACTTATAATAAAATAGTGTGTATTCCAATCTATAAATGCTTAGACACAAATAGAATAGAATAGCCAGATCATTTGTACTTTACTCAGAGCATTATGTGGTAGATTGCCAAGTGGGAATAGATGGAAATGTGGTACTGGTTTCAGAATTTCAAAGCAGCATTGATTATATGATTTTGTGAAATTATATACAATCTTTTGCAAATCTCTAAGCAAGAAAAATCTGGATTTTCTTTTGATTTATGATGTCTGTACTCCTGTAAAAACTATTCTTATTTTGTATTAAAACTGCAGAAATATTTCTTGTTAGGTAAAGTGGAATTAGATTCTAAACAGAGTTTTACCAAGGTGAACTTTCGCTGGAACATTTGAAAACTGTACCAGATAAAACACTGTTTTCTCTTGTAAGAGACTGTTTCACACTTGAAAAAAGTCAAGATCCCTATCCTGGTCCTCTAAAATACCAGTAGTATGGTAACTAAAATACCCTCACCGTTTCCCAAAGCTTCTCTATTGAGAACCCCTCAGAGTCATCAGCAAAGTTGCAATAGCCGGTGAGTTTATCAACTGTAGTGGGTCCACTGCAGGAGACTGGCACACTGAGAAATGGTCTGGGATCTTCCATTGGTTTGTAAGAGCAGGGTCACATGTAGAGTCAGATCACTTCAAATGATTTCTCCTGAAGCACAATACTTATGTGGCCACATTCCTGAGTAAGAACAGCAAAGATTCCTCAAAACACAGACAGCAATTGTTAGTATCACCACGGTGAGACTTTTCTGGGTTATATGTTCTCTGAGGAAAAGATTACCTTGGCAGACCGTAATTAATTATAATATAAGAAATTGAAAAGCTGTTCTTTTTGAAGCTGCAGGCTAATTAATGGAGGCAGAAATACTCTTGGAAACTTTTTTGGTTTCCCCAGTCACAGACATGGGACTTTAGGGTAGTGGTTTAAAATACTAAGTGCTTTGTACTGCCTCATAGTGCTAAATTATATCTGTTGGCTTGTCAAAAAAGTCATGACACATTTTTTCTATTCTATTCTTAAAGCAAAAATGTGTCATGACTTTTCTGACAACCCAATAGTTTCTCTTTTACCCCTTAGCTCACCCCTTATCACCCTTCAAAATTCACTTTTATTTTTTCCTGCATGGAATAGTCAAAATCAATTTACCAATTTTAATGTTATCTTATTTTTCCCTCCTCTCTTAAAAAGTTACAAAAATAATTTCATTTTGTTTTGTTTTAAACTTTTTTCTAGTTAAAAAGGTGGTTTTGTATTCATTTCACAGTATTCTAATCTTACAACACTATAATATAGAAAAAGCAAATTTCTTATAATCCCATGCTCCAGAAATAACTGTCATGGTTTCCTGTTCATATTTCTAATAGAATTGGGTCTATTTATATTTTTTATATGTACTTCCATAGTTCCTTCTAGCCAGATTCCCTTACTACTCCTTCTGAGCTGTAATGTGCTATGTCCCAACCTGCTGTGCTACCAGGGAGGGCCTAGAGCATATTCTTACTTAATATTTTTTAGTATAGAAATAGTAGAAAATACAAATTGTTTAAATAAAAACTACCAGTACCCAGACTTAACCACTCTCAGAAACCTCTATGACAAGGTTTTCAATCAAAACTTTATTAATGTTAAAAATGATTTTTAGGCCCTCCCTGGTGGTACAGCGGGTTAAAGCACAGCACTGAGAAGCTTAAGCCACTTCCGCATGAGTTCAGTTCCCGCCTGCCCCGGAGGTGACCACATGGTGTGGCAGACCTCTCCTGACCCGCCCGCTGCTCCCCTCAGCAGTGTACTTCGTCGATCTGCCTGTTCTGCTCCCCATTCTGTCTCTGGTGAATCCTCTCACCACCCTGCACCTCTGGCCTGTACCCCAGTTCTATATGAATAAATAAATAAATCTTTAAAAAAATGATTTTTAATCAGAGCAGTAGGATAGTATACTACCTTCTTTAAAAACAAAACAAAACAAAAAACCCCTATCTCCACCTTATATATTAAAGTACAAGTAAGTGAACTTGTAGGTTTACTGGGTGAAGTAGTAGGTTTCCTGACATGACCCCAGGGAGTTTTGCTTCTGCCCTTCACCAGGGGTAGGAAATCTTTGTTGGTTCCAGGCAGGCATAATTTCAGCTTGTTTTCCTGCAACTGAAAACTTACACTTCCTATGAGAGAAGATTGTGAGGAAGTGCCCAATGTCATGCCTGTCTTTGAGCACTGCCAGTCTGTTCCCTGTCCCCAGTCTTCTTTGTGAACAATGTGTTGAAGCTTCTGAAAGAGCTTGTACCAGAGTGTGAAATCTGATGACTGGCTAACAAAAATTCCAAACAGACACACTTTCTCACAGTCAACTAATTCTTTACTAATTAGTAATTTTTCTTACCCACATGTGGACAATCACCTCTTCCTTCCATTCCTTGTCAGGAATGTTCACTCTCTCATTAAAAGATTTGTCATTCTTTGGAGTTATTTTATGACCTTAGCTCTTTGATGGGCCCAAGAAAAGTTATGATTTTGTAGATTATCCAGCTTTTCCTTGTTATTAGGGTAAGAGCTTTTGTTACCACTCTGCATCCTAAGAAGGACCAAAACTGTATATCAGTTATTTAAAAATACTGTGTTGGATTTGAAATAACTTGGTTTAATTAAATTTTGGGGGTGGGGGTGGTAATATGTTAAATAGATAAAAACTTAAGAGCTTAGCTGGAGCCTTATCCCATTCTTACCCCCAGCTCTGCCCTCTTCTCAAAACACTGAAGAGTTTCTCTAGAGTGCAATTTGAAAATCTTTGACCTTAGTTATTGCTGATGTACTTCCTGTTGTCAAACCTTAACCCCAGTGACCAGTTGTTTGGCCCGCCACTGCTCTCCTCATTTTCTGCTTTCTCTGTAATATAGGTGCTTATGGAAACTCTGGGTGCTCTTGGGGCACAGTGCCGTTGGGCTGCCTGCAACATCTACTCCACCCTTAATGAAGTGGCTGCTGCCCTTGCAGAAAGTGGTAAGACCTTTTCGCTGTTCTTTGTGTCTTTGGCTAAAGTAAATCTCTGAAAATACGTTTTGTCTGCGTGAATCTTTAGGAAAGGTTGACATTAAAAGACTTATCTTGTTAGAAATGGATCCCTGTTCTTAATACGCTTGCTTGCTTTCTGGACTTCCCTTCTTAAATATGATCTAGGTAACTTTGTTGTTTTACAGCCCACAGATATCTTATGTTTAATACTCCCTTATTATTAGTTAATGTTTTACCTCTAGTTATTAGAGCACCAGTGAACACTATTCACTGAGGTTATATGGATTAGAGAAGAAAATGCTTCAGCATAGTTTTGTGGTCCTCCTGGGTTTTTGGCAAATAGTTTGCCCTGATTTAACGTTTGGTGTTTCTGCTTCAGCAATTAAAAGAACTTGACCTGTCAGATTAATATTTGATCATGGTGGCCACTGACACTTGAAGGACAAATGAAATGAGAAATTTGGACTTTCAGTTTCTTGTCTTCACTCTCTGGCAGCACACCACAGGTCAGGGTACCAAACACTTGCTTCAGAACTCTTGAGAAATATTGGGAAAGCTCCATGGCGCATGCGAGCCTCTCTTTTTGCTAGCACTCTTAGCACTTTGTTCTAAACCTACATTGATTCATTTGAAAAAGTTTTTATTAATTATAAAAAATATATAGAAATTGCACAAATATGAAATATTAGCCCAGTGAATTGTATATGTTCACACTTTTTTCAGTGAATGCTTATTTATTCTAAGAGAACATAAGGACAAATTAGAGAAGAAAATGCCTTGTCAGTCTCATGCTGTGGTTGAAGAGGAAAGAATATGTATATAAATAATGATAATATAGAAACATATATGATAAATGCTACAGTAGGTCACAGATCCACATTCAGTACAAAACAAGGGGCTATAGAAGTTCAAATTTCTTGAGAGTTCACTTCCACCTGAGTTATCAGGCTCCATTAGGAGTATAACACCTACTTAGGCCATAAAGTATAACATTTTAACAACTGGAGAAGAGTGTAAGGGTTTTCCTGATGAAGTGGGCGGAAGAAAGATCAAAGTATAATTGGAAAGTGGTGAGAATTCCAGGTGGACTAGATTGAGAAATATTTATTTCTGGTTTCATCCTTTTTCCCATTAGTCATATTTTTAGTATCCATCATCTTCTTGTCCCTTTTACTTTATCCCTCTTGGCCAAACAAGAGCAAAATGACCACTTAAGTCAAAGAGGAGTAGATGAAGGGGCAAAAGATAATACTAATCAGTGAAGAATGTCAGTCCAAGGAATACAGCAGGATGAGAAAGTTTAGAATTGGGAAAAACCAGCATCTTTTTTGCCAGAATTTAAGAGTCAGCCTTTTTTTCAGGCTATAATAGTTTCTCTTTGTTCCTTTTCTTCAGGATTTCCTGTCTTTGCCTGGAAAGGAGAGTCAGAAGATGATTTTTGGTGGTGCATTGACAGATGTGTGAATGTGGAGGGCTGGCAGCCAAATATGGTAGGTCCGATTTCTGCTGCAGTTCTTTAGGAGTCTTGAGGGGACAGAGGAAGAGGCTGTCAGTTGGGGGAGGACTCCCTAACAGGAAGGAAGGAAAATGTTCCTCTTCTCGCTGGTGTTCCTGGGTTGCCAGCAAAACTAGATACTTACAGCCAGGATACCCAACAAATATTAAATCTCATTATCACCTCCAAGTGCTGTCATTGTCAGTGCTGTTCTTAGAAATATTTATATTCATCAGCAACATTAAAGTGCTCTCACGTCACACATGACTGACTAAAAAGCAAGATTAATGAATTACCACCTCCTGCCACTGCTTCCCCCCAACAACAGTAACAATCCAAACACTCAGAAACAGATAGCTGCACAGCTTCTGTGGGAGTTGGCTTTCTTTCTAGACTCTTACGCTAAACTTACAGAGTCATTCCAAGTTCAGATTTCTTTTCTCTGTTTATTCCCAACCTTACGAAAGATGAGTAGGCAAATTTCAGAATTTTTTGGTTGATCTTTAAAAAAAAGATCAAGTTCTTGAAGGCTGATAGCATATTATATTCACAAAGAGGCAAAAAGTTACACAAAGGATGAGACACATGAGAAGTGCAAACATTTCTGCATTTGAGTGAGAGGAGGAATTGGGGAATAAACTGACAAAAGACTCCTTGAAGCTCTAATTCAGCTCTGGCTTGCTGCACTGGGAATGCAGAGAGAGGCAGCCCTTTTCTACATACCATGATCCAGGTCATATTACATCAAGGACTGATGTGAGGAAGCTGTGGTAAAGCCTTCATATCCTGAAAGGGAGGGAGGTACTGACTGTAAGATGAGTCAACTTGCCAATAAAGCTTAACAGTGACAGGCGGGAGTATGACTGATAGACACTAAAGAAGATATGCCCCCGGGGGTTTCTGCTAGGAATAAGACATTAGTTTTATAGCTAGGAACATAGTGGGGAGTACAGAGAGCTTCTCAAGACTGTAGAACCAGCACAAACTGCTGAAAAGGTTGATGAAGAGAGTAAGACAGGGGTAAAAATACATACCACCTCTGCCCAGAAAATAAGATCCATACCTTTTGGGTCATGTCATGATCTAGAACTTTTCCTTACTTTCCAACCCCAGAAAGATTCCCTAATAACAAGAATTGCCTGCTGTAGTATTACATGGCCAGAATTATGGACTTACTTTGATTAAATAAATGTTAGGAATAGCAGTACCTCCCAGAATTAGATACTTTTGTTAACAGGGGAAAGTGTGTAAGAATGGTAGGGCCAGAAAGTTTCCAGTTGTTCAGCCTTTTTTTTTTTTTTTTCTCTGTCTCTGATCCTTTGTGTAACTAGGATTAGAGGCTGCAAGGGCAAACTCAGTGAGGGGTTTCATACATGCAGAAAGGGAGAGAAACTCACAGAAGCCTTTCCTTTTCTTAAGACATCTGCTTTGAGGGTTTCAACTGGGAGAAAATGGAACACTTAACTTACATTATAGTGTGAGTTTTGCTGAGAGTCCTGTCTTGGATCCCTGCTCTCATACAAAGTTTAGTAGAGTCAGAGAAAACAGATCAATAACAAGAACAGCAGCAAAAAAGAGATCGGGTGCGGGGCCAAGGGTGACATTTTTGGGACTTGTGAAACACTTGCTACTGGACTGCAGGAGGGGTGCACGCCAGTAGAGGGCAACTCACTTCTGTGCGAATTTCCAGGAAGCTGGGTCAACAATTTGAAAGTCTTCCCCAGCGTTTCTGACAGCGAGGTGAAGGGAGCAAATGCCACAGCCTCGTGCCTAATAGTCTAAGCTGATCTTTCTTGAGCTTATTTATAATTCAGAAACGTTCCTCTGCTGATGAAAGCGCCAGTGGGTACAGCATTGTGTTCCTCTTTAATCCCAACCTGAAATAGTGATGAGCTGTTCAGAGGCGCTTGCACACCTACATGCTGCACAGTTCCCTGGTTATTTTTAATTTGAGTTACAGAGAGTGTGAGGTTGCGCTAGGCAAACCCTACAGTGCGGCCTGATATTTTGGGTAGGAGAGGGCCTGTACTTTGAGGAGAAGTGAAGGATTAACAAGTACGGTTTTATAAGCCATTGTTCTGGGGAGGACACTAATTGCCTTATTTTATTTAAACTAAATTTTAACTGAATATATTTAAAATCCTGGATTTTACCAATAGAAAGATGTTAATGTCAAGTTTAGGCTTTCTGTATATCCACAGTACATTCAAGAACTACTTGTCTATGTTGATAAAGATATAGGCTCTTTGTCCATAAGAAAATCCTCATTATGTTGCTGTCTGTGTTGATACGGTAGGTGTTTCATGTGGGAAGGTGGGAAGGCTGTGAGAATACAACTGGTCTGCCATCCCTCATTGTCTTTTACTTCAAGATGATGACTAGTCATTATATTAGCTTTAAATTAGTTGGCATAACGATATAGGAAAATTGAAATACCTATTATTGGCAGTTAGAAACTGGTTTACAAAACCAGAGGAACACTGGAAACCTTGAACTTTCAGCATAATAAATGATATTATTGGTGTTTATTATTGCAGATCTTGGATGATGGAGGGGATCTTACTCACTGGATTTATAAGAAGTATCCCAACATGTTTAAGAAAATCAAGGGCATAGTAGAGGAAAGTGTTACTGGAGTCCATAGGTAAGACTGGACAAGAACATACCTGGCTTTACACAACCTAGACGTGTATTCTTATAACCACATACCTGTGAAATACATTATGTTGAAAATTGGAGTCTATATGAGACCACAAGTCCCAAGTCTAAATACTATACCCTTTTCTTTTTTTAAAACTAACAATCACACAAAATGAAAACAGGGAGAGCAGAGACAAATAGGGGGATAAGTGTGGTCCTCTTGTTTTCTAGTTGTCATAAATAGTATGGCTGCTTGGATGGCTGCTCATTTATTCAACAGATATTCATTGAACTTCTACAGGGAGCCAAGAGCTGCTGTAGGAACCATGCCAGGGATCTCCCAGTAGGCGAAACAGACTAAAATCTGGGCCCTTGGGGTCCTGGAGCTTACATTCTGGCATGGAGAGCCCTTCTCAAGGCATAGAGAGGCCTCTTCTTCTCAAATAAGTAGTAACCCTCTGAGTAAAATTGGAGTTACTTCTCTTTATCACTATTTACCTAGAAAGAAGTGAAAGTATGACATAAAAGTTTTAAGGAAGTAAATTCTGTGCTATATTATAAATATATTGTGACCTTTTTGAATATATATATATATATATATTCAAAATGTCTTTTGAATATATAAAAGAAGATACCTTCAGACTCTTAGAAAGAGATGAATTTTTAATAAAATACTACATTCTTTTAATTAGCTTGCCTTAAAATAAATATACAGATAATATATTTGTAGATGTGTATATTGAGATTATAAAACTATTTGAAGGTTAAAATTGTAACAGTAGAGTAGTGAGATTATGCATATTTTTGTAATTTAAAAGGGGATTAAAATTCATAGGCAATTTGAAACCTCATATGTCATTTTATTTAAAAATCTTTATTTCATTAAATATATCTAGTAAGATGAAACTAGTTGCCTTTCATCTCATGCTCTCAAACCTATCCGAGCAACTTATTTCTAGAATTTAACATGAAACTGGCAGAAGATTGTAATATTACATCATTTTATGTTCTTGATTTCCCTCATCCCAGGCTGTACCAGCTTTCCAAAGCTGGGAAGTTGTGTGTTCCAGCCATGAATGTTAATGACTCAGTCACCAAACAGAAATTTGACAACCTATACTGTTGCCGTGAATCGATTCTTGATGGGTAATGTTTTATTTTCTTTGGTATGAACTTGAGTGGTTCAATTGAGGTTCTAAGTTTGGTTTGGGTTATTTCTGGAAATGATTCATGTAGCACCTCTGAATCTATTACACATCACACTGTATGTTTTGAAACCCAGAATTACCATTGCTAGCACTATGATAAGCATGTCATTTTACCTAAGAACTCAGACTAGCCTCCGTCTATTGTGGCTGACTTCTTACTTTGTGACCCTAACAGGCCTGTCAGTAATAAATTGTTTTTGATGGTCTGAGAAAGGGTTCCTGGTGTTTTTATTATAGACTCAGTTACCAGTTCTTAAGCTCCAACTATCATAGATTTGTCTAGTCATCTGGAGAATTGTGGTGAGCAGAGTCAGTTCCCAGAGGCATTACTAGATTTTCAATTAACGTAAGGGCTATAAGTCTAACACAGCCTACTCAACTATACCAAATATTGTGTTCTTTCAGTACCCAGTTTTTGTCCTTACAGTTGTAGAATATTGCCCAGTCAGGTGGTTTACATCATGCATAGGCTAATAGAACAGTGAAGCAAGGGCCTGTGGGCCACATTACGAACCACTCTGCACCCAGGCAGTTGCAGCACCACAGCCAAAAGGACCTTGGTTTAACCATTGGCTCCATCATTTATTAACCCTAGGACTCAGGTCTAGTTGTGTAACTTCTCTGTGCTTGTTTCTTCATCTGTGAAATGATGATGGCAAAACTGCCTCACAGAATTATTGTGAGGATTAAAAGGGATAAAGTGTGTATCCTGGTGTCTAGTGCAGGTCCTTCTGCCCTTCTTTCTAGAATCTTGTGCAATAAGCTCAAGGTTTGAGTTAGCTCTTAGGAAAGCTTTTTGCATTGAGTTTTTTCTTTTTCTTTCTTTTTTTTTTTTTTTTTTTTGGTAACAGAGGGTGGGAGGGTGTGTAGGGTTGGAGAGTGTTCAATGCAAATTTATAATTAGTATAAAATATTACCATTACTCCTGTAACCTCAATAGTGTTTTCAGATAGATTGAACATTTGAGAGAATTCTCAATCCATTGTCTATTTATACACTGTTGCTAGTTCTGACTAGATGTGTTACTGGGCTGAATAATCTTGAACCTGACAAAATCAGCAACCTGAGTATATATTAAAATATTTAGATGTGTTACTGGGCTGAATAATCTTGAACCTGACAAAATCAGCAACCTGAGTATATATTAAAATATTTAGATGTGTTACTGGGCTGAATAATCTTGAACCTGACAAAATCAGCAACCTGAGTATATATTAAAATATTTACTTATCTATTTTTAAGTATCTTTTAGATTTTACAAGTCCAAATCTGTGAGCCTGAAATGTATAGTAGTAGATTCAGTAAAAGATATGGAAAGGTGCCATTTGGCCAGTAAATCACCACAGTGACCAACACAAAGAGAAAGAGGAGAGGCACCCTCTGTCGCCATTCCTTTAGCCACATGTATGTCAATCTACAGGAAAGGTGCCATCAAGGGGATGGGCACTGTTCAAAAAGAAATGCTCCACACATGTTACCGTGGTGAAACCGGAAGAGTCTGTAATGTTACCCAGCATGCACTTGGCATCGTTGTAAACAAACAACTAAAGGGCAAGATTTTTGCCCAGATAATTCAGGTTCCTATTGAGCATATTAAACATTCTAAGGCAAGTTAGCACCCTGAAACACGTGAAGGAAAATGATCAGGAAAAAAAGGAAGCCAAAGAGAAAGCTACTTGGGTTCAGATGAAGTGCCAGCCTGCTCCACCCAGAGACGCGCACTGTGTGAGAACCGAGGGAAAGGAGCCTGAGCTGGAACCCATTTCCTGTGAATTCATGGCACAATAGGTATAAAATAAAATAAAAGACCTCTAAACTACAAAAAAAGTACATATAAATGTACCAGTCTTAGTTTATAAAAATGGACAGAGTTACCAACCCTGTAAGTAAAAAAAAAAAATTTAGTGTCAAAACTGTATGAAAGTAAAACTAAGTTGAAAGAAGTAGTACGTGTGTTGTTAAGGTTAATGAAGAAATAGAAAAACAGCAACTATTCAACAGAAACCTGATCCCTTTAGCTGGTTGAAAAACTTTCACTTGGATCACTATTCAGTTATAGTTATCCCTATTCAGGGAAACTAAGGAAGAGTAGTGGAAAAAGAGGCCATTCAGGATGTTAGAAAGTCCATATGAAGAAGGCATTTGTAGTTGACCATCTGTAGTCCTGAACTAGCTACACACTCTGTAGCTATGAGGGACTTGGCCTCACTGACTCTTAGAGGATGCTTCTGTAGTCGGACTGTAGTACCAAAAAGCGGCACAAATACAACCTTTTGAAAAAGATTGAGGTTCTACTTGGTAGGAAAAGAAGGATATTCCAGAGTCGCCATAGAAGCAATAAGATTTTCAGAGCATTACACAGGCAGTATTGTGAGAACACTTATAGATGATTGTGGGGCTAGAAGAATCAGACAGCAGAAACTTGGCGTGACTTTACACAGCACCAAGCAGTCAACCTTCATCCCTCCCCCACAAAATGGCCTTTCTTGACTAAGGTCTTACCTATCCTTTATCGAACATGAGGCAGATATGAGTTCCTAAGATCAAGAGAAATCACTACCTAACTGGAACCCATCCAGATCTGTCTGTCTGTTTTTTCAGTGTAGCAGTGTTGATGAAGTTTTCTTTCTACCACACTGTCACTTGTAACAAAAAGTCAGCCTCCTTTGGGAAGAGACGCAAAAAAGCATGAGATTAGGCAAGGCAAAGGAAGCTCAGAAATATGATCTGTTGATTTTCCTTGCTGTGCTAATCATTCAGGATAATTCTCCAAAGCCCTGATTTTTGATGTGGTAGGTACTCAGACAGTCTTACTCTCTTCATTCAAGATTTACCTTTGTTCTTAATTGATATTTATTGAGTTTCATTGACATCCATGGAGTTATACTAGTTCCTATTGAGTTGAGTTGTCAAATGATTAAAAAGTCAGAATTCCTACTTTGGCTTTGGAGCATTTTATAGACTCTTCCATAGGAGAGGTAAACAGACTGATGACTTTCTGATTTAATGGTTCTTCTCCCCTAGACTTAAAAGAACAACAGATATGATGTTTGGTGGAAAGCAGGTGGTGGTCTGTGGCTACGGAGAGGTACGCTTAACCTTTCGATTACTAGGTTTTTTAAAATGTATCTTACTGAGCTACACTAAAATTTTCCATTGGTGTGGACATGAGAGAATGCTCACTTACACTGTACTTGGGAAAGAGGTAACTCTTGAGAGTGCTTAGAATAGAATCTTTTACCCTCCACATTTTTGCCATTTTTTTCTTAAGCTGATTTTCTGACTGTTGCAGAGTACTGTTTGTGATGTTCTTTTAGCTTGTGTTTTGATTATAAATCGTGCGTGTGGGTGTTCTTATGCACATGCATGTACTAAGCAGGGGCTAGGATTTTGTTTATGAACTCCATTCATTTATTTATTTTTCTTATTTTCCCCCAACCATGAATCTATTCAGTGAAATTTCTTTTGGGGGTGGCAAAGGGGTACACTTTACCAGATGCTTTGAAAGCTGTTTTCTCATTGCCTTCCCTTATTATGTGTACTTGTTCCCCTCTTCAGGTGGGGAAGGGGTGCTGTGCTGCTCTGAAAGCGATGGGCTCCATTGTGTACGTGACTGAGATTGATCCCATCTGTGCTCTTCAAGCTTGGTAAGCATGTAATGGAGACTGGCCTTTTCTTCTCTACCAGATCTAATATGTGATCTTGTAGCTGTCTCCAAAGACTGGCCTGTTAATGCTACATTTTATCTTAGAGGGTCCCAGATCCCAAGAGAGGCTGTCCTTAACTGCCATTACATTAACTATAAGCTCCTGTCTTTCAAAGGTTAAGGAAAGAACAGAGACAGTCAGAGTTGCTAAAATGGAGCATTCCTATGGAAATAATAACAGGGACACCTTGAGCCAGAGAACAAGTAACCCCTGGCTTCTCCACATGTAATCTTTCTAAAAATAATGATCAAACAAGAAATAGGCTAGCATCAGATCCTTTCTGATGTGATGCATTGAAGAGATCTTCTGTGATATTCCCCCCAAAATGTGTAATCCAGATCTAATCAGGAAAAAGCACCAGACAAATCCAAATTAAGAGTTGAAACTGCCACCTCAGAGTTAGTAACAGTTTGTGCCGTTAACTATTTAGCAATTGTTTATATTATTAAGTTTGAAATGATTTCAAAATTAAAGTTACTAAGAATAGTTCCTTGCTCCTCTGCAAAATGTGCAAAATCCTTAGTACCTCGAAGATATGCATTATACAATAAATATAACATCCTGAGCTGTTGTCACATAATAAACACTCACTAGATGGTGGCTCTTTTGTCTCTTTCCATCCTTAGTAGGATGGAAATACTGCTCTCTGTGAAAATTATGGCAGAATCCAGTTAGCTGTAGCCTGGATAGTCCACCCAATCTTTACCATTAACCCTCCAGAGGAAGTTGCCCTGAGTAGAATGAAGCGTGGCAAAAGGATCTTGCATAAATCATTTGCCCCTATTCCACTCCTCCTACATCCTAGCCAAAACCAGATTTTCCCTTCAGAGCTCCAGCTCTTCATTTTAGTACTTTCAGAGTTCATTAAAGAAGCCTGAATGTGCTTTAATAATGATTAAGATATCAACTCAATAATATACAGACACGAACCTATCACTTATTCATATTATATATTCTGCTGACTATGAATAAGATTAATGAGACAAAGTCCTGCTTTTAGAAGCACACAGATGCATAACCACAGTGCAGTGCAGTAAACGCTATGACAGATAAGATCACAAACTTGTAAGCACACAAGGAGAAATATCCAACTAAAGAGTCATTGGTCACCATTGGTAACCAAAAGAGGTGTCAGTATAACTGAGTCCTGAAATTTGCTTGGAAATAAATTACATGAACAGAAAACATGTGTAATAGTCACTAAAAAACAGACTACAGCATACCAAAGGATCCAACTGTATTTTAATGTAACTGTCCATAGGGTAAATTTGAGGATGTGTTAATATCTGGGTGGGAATCATTTTAATATAATTCTACCAATATATGTTTGGTGGTTTTATCCTGATGAAAACAGGCAATCTTCACTGAAATATTTTAAGCAAAGAAGTGATTTTAAAGTGCTTTTAAGGCAATTACTCTGCAAAATGAATTAGATTTAAACCTAAGACAATGAGATTGGGCCAGGGGCTACTTTAGTAATCTTGGCAAGAAATAATAAGGCCAGCACAGATGGAGAAGAGAGGATAAATCCAAGGGAATTTAAGGATTTAAAGAAAAAGAACCAGATTCAGTGACAACTGAGGGGCAGTAGGTTAGGAAATTTTAGTTTTTTGACTCATACAGTTGGATGAACAGCAATGCAGTTGATCAAGATAGAAAATATAGAAGAAATAGTGTTGGAGATACAGAAAAAATAATGTGTTCTGTTCAAACATGACAAGTTTGCGATCCTTGTGGCACATTAGGAGGAACTATCCAGTGGATAACTTTGTGTGGCTCTGAAACTTCCCAGAGATCTAAGGTATACAAATTAGCCACCTCTGAAGGAGCTGTTTGTAGCCAAGGAAAGGATACAAATACATGGTGAAAATAGAGGAAAGGGCACCCTACAGAGTAGTAACTTTTAAATAACTGAGATTGAGAAGGAGCTATCAGAAAAGTGGGAAGGCAGCTAAGAGAAAATAGCATTGTGAACTTGCAAGGATAGAGTTTTAAGAAGGTAAGTGATGTTTAATGGAGCAGAGGAAGTCAAGTAAGATAAAAGTCTGAAAATGTTATTTTTGACATTCAGTTCACTGATCATCTTGGTGAGAACAGTTTTCAGTGGGGTAGTAGGTTTAGTGGCTAGTTGGCACTTTCTCAGAACTCAACTGAGGAATCTCATGGTAACGGTCCATTATCAGGAAGAACTAGATTCCAGTGATACAAAAGAACTTTTTATTCCTGTCCTGTGTGAATTAAGGAAATGGTTTGATTTTTTTATTGCTGAGAATAGTCTAGCTATATCAAAAAGTGATAAATATAGGTATCGAAGGGACTTAGTAATAACTTCTAAGGTTTTGTAGCAAAAGGCTCCCACAGCTGCCTATTGACATTTATTGGTGATGCTTTATTTCTACAGTATGGATGGATTTCGACTGGTGAAATTAAATGAGGTCATCCGACAAGTGGATATTGTTATTACCTGTACAGGTATGATTATGACATTTAAAATTGGGAATATTTTCATGGGAAAGTGAAAAAATTATTAAAAATGTTTAGTCAAAATGAGGCTACAATGGCCAAATAATAGTTCAAAAAACAGTCAGTCTTTAACATTGTTCCTGCATCTTTAGAGGTGTGGCCTAAAGCATTCTATTAAGTCATTTTTTCCTTAGAGGAAAGAATCTTTCTATCCCTTTTAATTGTTCTATATCTCCATCCATTCTCAGTTATTGAGGAAATGGCCTGCAGTAAGTTTTATTTGGGAAGCCAGCTCTTAAATTTGTGTATTTGATTTTTTGTTTTACTTTCAAAACTGGCATCTGTTTCTCTCTACTCCCTATAATTAAAGCCAGGCTAGAGTAAAATTCTTCCTGTAGAGAAATTAAAAAAGGGAGCTGTATTAATTCCCACAGAGGTAGATTCTGAGTTTTGGAGAGGAATATGCAGCAATGGCTACACTTTGGACTAAAATACTTATTTTATCTTATAGTAGAACTGTCAACCACTGGAACGTTGCTTTTCTTTCATGATTTTATTTTGGAAGAGGAACATCAGAATATTTAAAAGTAAAAATATGTTTATAGCCTCAGGGAGAGCTGGAGCAGAGAAAGGGGACAATAAGACATTGTTCTTGCTTCACATCATATCCTTCATCTCTCCCTCTTTTTTTTTTTAAGTAATTTTATGGAAAAAATTTATAGTAATTTTTTGAAGTAATTTTAAATTCACAGTTAATTTTTTTCTAGTAAATTCACAGGGTCATACAGCCATAATCTAATGTATACAATGTATACAATTCAGTGGTTTTTAGTAAAGTTGTGCAACATCCCATTATGATTCCAGAACATTTTTATCATTCCCAAAAGAAATTCCATTCTAATAACAGTTACTCCTTATTCCACCCCCCACCTTTTTTCCAACCCTTGCTAACCATTAATTTCTGTCTCTATAGATTTTTCTATTCAAGATATTTCATATCAATTAAAAAAAAATGTGGTCTTTGGTGACAAGCTTTTTTTACTTAGCATAATGTTTTCAGGGTTCATTCATATTGTAGCATTTATCAATAGCTCATTCCTTTTTATTGCTGAATAATATTCTGTTTTAAGGAGAGATATATATACACACACACAAACACACACAACACATTTTTATTTATCCATTCACCAAATGACAGATTTTCATGTTATTTTCACTTTTTGACTATTATGAACAATGCTACAGTGAACACTGTGTAGAAGTTTTTCTGTGATTACCTACAAGTGATATTACTGGATCATATGGTAACTGTACTTGCAACATTTTGAGGAACTGTCAGACATTTCCAAAGTGACAACTTTTATAGGCCTGCCAACAGTGCATGAGAATTACTTCTTCACAAACTTGTCAACACTTATTATTGTCTGTCTTCTTTATTATACTCACCCTAACAGATGTGAAGTGATTTTGATTTATACTTCCAAATTGACTAATGATGTTGAGCATCTTTTCTTGTGCATGTTGGCTTATCTTTTGTACATCTTTTTTTGAAAAATGTCTGTTAAGATCTTTTGCTCATTTTTAAAGTGTATATTACTTTTCTCTGTGTTACTGAGTTAGAATGTTTTTTAATAATTTGAGATAAAACTTCCTTATCATGTAATTTGCAAATATCTTGTTCCATTCTGTGGGTTATCTTTTGACTTGCCTAGTAGTAACACAAAAGTTTTTAATATGATAGTTCAGTTTACTTTTTCTTTGGTTTCTTGTGTTGAGGTGTTATTGCTAAGAAACAATTGCCTAATCAAGCTCACAAAGATTTGTTCCTATATTCGCCAAGAATTTTGTAGTTTTGGTTCATACATTTATGTCTCTGTTCTATTTCAATTTAAATTTTACATATGGTGTTAGGTAGGGATCTAACTTCATTCCTTTTCATGTAAATATCTCTTCTGTTTTTAAGGTAACAAGAATGTGGTAACCAGAGAACACTTGGATCGTATGAAGAATAGTTGCATTGTTTGTAACATGGGACATTCCAATACGGAGATTGACGTGGTAAGATCAAATGACTCATCTTTTGGGTCTTTTTTTTTTTCTTCCTCCCAAGAAACATAAACTGGAACTTAAGAGCAGAGAGAGCAGCGATTGTAAACTTGACTGTTCTATTAGAGCTATCTAGTCCTTTCACGAATCAGCCTTTTGGCCTGTGCTTGTGAGTACTCTAAACCTTCTTTGTCTCAATATAATCATTTGAAATGACTGTTTTCTTCTACCTCTTTATACTACAAGGCAGTTCATCTTTATGTTGAAGATTAAGAACTGGATAAACTCAAAACTACAAAGAGGATGCCATAAATGTCAGTATGGTAGTAGTATTTGGGGGATGTTTGATTTTACTATCAAGGTGAGATAAGCAGGTTGATTCAAGGAAGAGCAATATTTGGGCTGGGATAGAAGATTACCTGAGACTGACTGTGTCTGTCAAATATGGTGTTCTTTTCTGTTCTTTCCCTATTTCACTACAGTAGTTCTCCCCTTAAAATATTTTCCAAATGATAGTAATTGGGCCTGTAGGTGTCACAGTCAGTTCAGTTCCATGTGATTCTCAAACCTGGACTATCTTATCACTTTGGTTCTCAAATTTGTTCATATTCACCCGAAAATTTTCCAATCCAAGATAGTACTCAGCTCTACTATGGTCTCAAGTAGTAGTTAATAGAAGTGTTACTTATTTCTTTTCAGACTTACCAAAGTTTCTCTCAGTGTGACTTTCACTCTGGTTTTAAATTGCTATGGCATTTGTATGGTACAACTGTATTTCTCTCTGGGTAAATGGCTCAAGCAAAGCATGTTTTTATCTCCATCGAGGGCTGCTCTGATTGAGCTTCTGCATTGCCAGGTAAGGTTCAGTTGATATATCGAGAGCCTATTGGGTAGTATCTATTTTAAAGAGTTTCTCTTTTTATTCTGTACTGTATTCTTTTGTTATTAAAAATAGCTAGGAAAACAACCTGTCAACATCTGTTTCTACCCTTATCTCTGAGTGGCATGGCTCCATTATTCTGTCTTACTATGATAGTTTGCTTATAATGAATAATTTATTTAATTCTTTTCTGTTCATTTTAAGTTTCACTTATGTGCCATGCTGCCCCGTTCTAAATGGTCGAAGATACTAATACTTCTAAAACTGTCTAGCCGTGATTGTCCTTGTCTGGATTGATCTGCTTGAAGTCCTCGGATAGGAAAAGCCTAAAGGGAAGTTGTTAAGTGCTGAGCTGTAATAAGCTCTCAAGAAGCTCTGAAATGAAAATAACTCCAAATACAATCTTTTAATTTACACATTTTTCCTTTATGTTATTTCATACTTTGATTGTTCAACAATGTATTATCTTATTCCTGGATTTCGTTTTGGAAACTAAGAAGTTGAATGCATTGTTCAGTGATATACTAGATTTAAAACTTAATTTGGAGCATTAAATCAAGGTTTTTAAATTTACCAGTAAATTTTTTGTTTTGCTTTGTATTCTTATATACTAGTTAGTATCATCTCATAATACCTAGATTAGTTTCAAATTAGTAATCTTTCCTCCAGAGGCAGACCAGACACAAGTAATCTCTTGGGATAAAATAAAGACACTTTATTTTCGGTCACAGATACTTGTGTGATTGCTGTATGCTAGGTGCTATTCTAGATGCTTGGAGTAGGCCAAAGATTCCTGCCCTTATGGAACTTACATTTAGTGAGAAGAAAGGCAGTAAATAAGTAAAAGCTACAGTATGTTAAAAGGTAAAAGAAAGCATATGGTAAAAAGTAAAAGTAGAGCATGCGAAGAGAAATTAGGAGTGCTGGGTAGTAGTTCTGGATAGACTGGCCAGGTATAAGCCTCATTAAGAAGGTGGTGATTGTGTAGACTTGAAGGAATTTGCCACATAGACTTTTAGGTGAAGAATATTTTGTGGTAACAAACAGAGAAAATGCCCTAAGGAATGTGGCTAGCATTTCCAAGGATCTTCAGTGAGGCCAGTGTGTTTGGAGCAGAGAGAGCATGAAGCAGGAGAGTGGAAGATGATCATGGCCAGAGAGATAATGGGCCAGATCCTGTGAGGTTTCAGAAGCCACTGTAAAAACTCCTGATTATGTACTGAAAGAAATTTAGAGCTATTGTCAGATTTATTACAATTTGACTTCTATCTACACGGCTGCTTTCTTGGGGCTTAGAGTCTGCTGTGGGAGACAGACAAACAGTTATTGTCAGTGCCTAATATTGAAGAAAACAGCAGGGTAACAACATTGAGGCTGCTATTTTAGTTAGAGTGATCAAGGAAAGTATTTTTGAGGAGATGGCATTTGAATAAAAACTGAATGAATTGAAGGAGCAAGGCATCTGAGCATTCTGTTTATAGAGAATGCAAGTGGAAGTCCTGAGCTAGAAGTATGCTTAATATCTTTGAAGATATAAATAAGTCCATTGTGGCAGGAATAGAATGGGCATGGAGAAGTGGATAAATAGATCAAGGAGGTGCTAGATTATGTACTGCTTTATAGTCTTTGTTAGGTCTTCAGTTTTATTCTGCATGCAAGGAAAACTATTGGAAAGTTTTGAGCAGGTGACAAAAATCTAACTTACTTTTAAAAGATTACTCGCTTGTATAAAGAAAACACTTCTGGAGATTGAGTAGTAATAGTGACAATAGAAACCTCTTCAGCATTTAAAAACCTAGAAAGTAGTAGCTTGGATTGGATGGGTAAGCTATGTAGGGTATAAGAAGTGATATTTTGCTACAGTAAAATCAATGAGATTTGCTAAATGGATTAGATGCAGGGTATGAGTAAAAAAAGAACATTACTGTAAGACAATGTAGTAAACTGCAAGGGAGATGCATTTTTATTCAGATATTTTTAATAATCAAAAATGTCCCTTTTGGGGGGGGTTAGGGTTTTTTTTTTAAGATTTCTAATTTTACTTAAATTTGAGATATTGAATGACACATTTTTAGGGAGGAATAGCTCATCAAGAGTTGCCCATTTAGAAACTCTTTTTTTTTTTTTTCATGAGAAATATTAATGTAATGAATACTTAGGGAATCTGCAATAGGGATTATGTTCCCAGCTGCTTTTGGTCTTTCTATAAAAATTTTCCTTTTTTTTTTGAAAGCAGACCTGCTTATCTACATGAATTCCATAGAAGACTGTATGAGATTTCACCATTCAGGTGGCTAAGCCATTATGCATGCATATTTTAAAAGTTTACCAGTGAATTACAACCTGAGACTTGCTGTTGACCCCATGCTTTGCAAGAACTACTAGAACCACAGTGTTCTCCCTGAAGAAACTGATATGCACAGTTGAAAATCATATAATACCAATTTATGCAGGCATATTAAATGGCTCAGTTACCGTGGGATAGCCAGTTAGTTTGGAAGGGTAGTCTACATAGGGAACCAATTTTTTTGGTAGATTGCTTAGTGATTATAAATCCATAGTAAAGACAATCAGAGGTCTTTAAGAAAAATTCTTGTAAACTGTGTTAAGCATGAGACGCTACTTTTGAGGAGTATGAGTGACAAAAAGACCTTAATGGGGTTAGTAAGCTTCTAGGACACTGCTAGATGTAACTGAATTTCTCTTCAATCCTGGTTTTAAGCTGAACTGCGGGTCTTTTGCTTTCATGATAGCCATTCCGAGTCTCTAGAAATCTACTAAGCATCGATTATGTTTTTATTTTTATTAACAGTGTCCTTTCCTTGACACCATAAGTATTTTCCCAGGAAGTACTTCCTAAAACAGGAGAATTTTATAATCATGGTTTTCAACTCTTACTCCCAGTCACAGAGGTTGTATACCATCTGAAAGATTAGGAATGTGAGATAGAACTTGAAATACTTTAGTAACATCATCTCAGATAAAAAATACCTGTGGTGGGCCCTCCTTGGTGGTACCACAGGTTGAGTCTCAGCACAATGAAGGTCTCCACAGCCACTGCAACATGAGTTCAATCCCCGGCCAGGGAGCTGACCCACATGGCACAGCAGACCTCGTCTGACCTACCTGCTGCTTCCCTCAGCAGAGTATTTCACTTGATCTTCCTGTTCTGCTCCCCACTCTGTCCCTGGTGAATCCTCTCACCCCTCCACACCTTTGGCCTGTACCCCAGTTCTTGCATGCATGCATAAATAAACCTTTAAAAATGTGCCAGTGGCACCAAGGCCTATCTCTTGACTTTCTGTGGTTCTTGCTCTTCGTGGTGATATTTTTAAAGGCTAAGATACTTGCCTTGTATATCCTTAACTTCTTCAAATGATCTGTTTGCATAAATGCTTCTCAATTCTAGTTATAGTGTTCATAAAAATTTTAAAGCTAACTTTGACATAATGCTTCCTTAAAAAGTCAAACATATAGTTACATTTAAAGAAGTTAAAAAATTACAAAAAGGTTATATTACTCAACAACTTGATTTTTTTCATTTATAAAATAATAAATGGTTTTCATATTAACTTACACAGATCTACTTTTGGGGACTGTATAATATTCTACAACATGCAGTTAGCCTGATTTGCTTAGCCATTCCCTGTTGCCTTACATTCCATTTTTCACTATTACAAATAACATTGGATTGAATATTCTTATATTTCTGAACTTGAACAAGTGTTTCTGTAGCTTAGAACCTTAAAAGTAGAACTGACTAATTTAAGATCAGGTACATGTAAAATTTTGTTAGTTCTGGTGAAATTGCCCTTTAGCAAGGTCAAACCATTTATGAAAATTGACATCTGAAGAAATTTTTTATTTCCCACCTACCTAATAAAGAAATGGGCCAACCCATTAATATAGTCCCGAATATGTTGAAATACATTATATGTCTGTCTTTCCCAGTAGATAACAAAAAGAAGATGCAGTCCCTGTCCATAAATCACTCATAGTAAAAGAGAAAGCTACATACTTATTTATAATAGTAACTTTTACTATAGTGCCTAGAATATAGTGTGTACTCAATAAATGATTATTGTATAACTAAAGTATTTCTGTTTATTTCTGTGTAAACTACTATTTGGCAGAACTTTTCAATTTTATCGGGTCAGTGGGTGGTTTTGGAATACGGACTCCCTTGCAATTTTCAGCATTGCCTCTTCAAAGAAGGCAGTTATCTTAAGTCTAAGTCCTGTGGCTGTTACTTGATTGCTGCTGTTAATAAACTTGACATTTCTTCTCTTGTTCTCGGAATATACAATATACAGAAATGGAAGGAGGATGAGCCATTGGGAGCTTAAGCATTTTCTAAAGCCTAGCTCACATGTGCACTTAGATAACAAAGCTTCTGTGACTGGAGGGTGAACCACCATTACTGAGATTGTGGAACATGGACGTGGGGACATGAGAGCAGACCCAGCATGCCCTATTCAGGAATTACAGCCTTTCTAACTAATGTCACTCAGCTCTGACCCTCCATTATCCTGTGTCTCTTAAGCGCCTTATACTTAGTTTGCATAATACTAATTTGCACTTGTTTGCATGTCGCTTTATACTTTAAAGGCCCCCCCCCACACACACAGACATGTATTATTTTGTGTCCCCAACTAAAGTATGAGCTTTTTGAAGGCAGAAACCATGTCTTTGGTTTCTTTTGTATTTCTCATAGCACCTTTTACTGTGCTCAGCAGAGAGTGGGCGCACAGTATATATTGTGGAATGACATCCTGAGTGATCCCTCCCTGGCTGGGCCTAAGATTAAATCCCCTGAAATGGAACAGTCCTAACCAACCCAGGACAGGTATTCTCCATCTGGCATGTTGATTGTTCCTTTCAACTTGCTATTTGAAATGGTTCCTTCAAAATCTTTCCATCCACAAAGTGGGACTTGGTGTGGTTGATAATGTGCTGCTGTGTGTGTTCCAGGCAAGTCTGAGGACACCAGAACTGACCTGGGAGCGTGTGAGATCACAAGTCGATCATGTAATATGGCCTGATGGCAAGAGGATAGTATTGCTGGCAGAGGTAAGACCTGAGGCTGTCAGGTCCACCCTGACAGGAGAGACTGCAGTATCAGACCCTTCCCTCCTGTTCTCTCATACTTTCAGCTCCTCTCAAGCACAACTTTACCTCCATTACCAATAGATTTTACATCTAATTGTGAAGGGCCTTTTCATTCAGCAATTAAGAAACTATTTTGGTTCCCCACTTTTTACCAATTATCCTGTCTCCCCATGTCACTCTACAGGTTGAGTCAGATAATGGAAAGAATGAACAGATAGAACAGATGCCACTTTGAGTGATGCTTATAGAAATAATGGCATTCGTGGGAAGGTTCAGTCAGCAGGCACAAAGTAGACAATCCTGGCCTGTAACAGACTATCTTTGGCAAGCTTTAGGAAGAACGTGTCTTTGTAGAGATCCTGATTTTGAGTATCCATTGCCCAGAATTGAGCCAGACTTGTAGTAAGCATCTAGCTATATTTTAGTTGTATAATTATTATTTCCCCATCCCCGCTTCTAGCTCAGACTTACCCGTGACTCATCCCACTTAACTTCCCATGTCAATGTTTAGTCACCTTTCCTTTCTTAAAAGTTTCTCTTCTCTAGCTCTGGATTCCTGACACAATAATGATACCCCCTGGACTGACCTTGACACTCTTTTCTAGGGAACAATACCAAAATAACAAGGAAGATAATTCTTTCATCAAGTTTTGATTTTCAGTTTTCTTTCCTTTTTAAATTAAATAAACAAAATGCGGAATTACAGAAGATATACCGTCTTCAACTGGGATCCTTAAATTTATGTTTGTGTATCCTACTAGTAGTTCTCTTTTACCTTTCCCCACTTGATTTCACCTTCTCGAATACTTCTGACATTTCTTCACAAGAAGAACTATTTTTGAAGAGAGGGTTGGCAGGCTGTTAAATGTTACCTTATTCCTAGTTGGCCTGGCAGGTCCATCTTGTAATTGTCATGACAAATGCAAGTGCCACGGTTGTTTTTTACTGGTGCAGTGGAGTTAAAAAGTTGGTCCACCTTGCTGGGAAACAAAGTGGGAAATGATTGGAGGGGTGGGGGACCGTAGTCGCTAGTACTCTGATTCACCTATGTAGAGTATAATTCTGCTGTTGAATTCAGGAAGACCAAATTGAGGGCAAGCATAAATATTATCACCATTTTCTAAGTCTTAAAAATAGCTCCTCTGAGGACCTCTTTGGTGGCACAGCAGGTTAAAGCACAGCACTACAAGCTGGCCACAGCCACTTCAGTGTGAGTGTGATCCCTGGCCCCAGAGGTGATCCATGTGGCATACAGCAGACCTCTGTCTCGCCCACTGCTTGCCTCAGCAGTGTACTTCGTCAGTCTGCCTGTTCTGCACCCCTCTCGTCTGGTAAATCCTCTTACCATCCCTGCACCTCTGGCCTGTACCTTAGTTCTGTATGCATAAATATATAAATCTTAAAAACAAACAAACAAACAAAAAAAAACTCCCCTCAAAACTTGGAGAGATTGCTCCCAGATTTAACCAGATCACTGTTTATGACTGTCTTTCAAAGGTCTGTTGAAACCTTTGAAGGAGGCTATTCCGCTATAGAAAATAGAACATTCAAATATACCCTTCCTTCACAGACGCCTCAGCATAGTGTTATCATATTTTTTTTTACATATTCTCTGAGATCTTTTTAACTGTTGCCTTCATCAAATTTTCCAGATTTCTTTTATGGTTTCACTTAAATGTTAATTCATTTCTATGTATTTGAAAACCTCCTTCTTTCCTGTCCGGCATTCTTAGTAGAGGAGTGTTTGGAAAACCGTAGTCTTACTCTTTCCTCACTCCTAAAAGTTCAAAGAGTTTCTTAACCCATTTGTGTCCTAACCCTGCACTCTAGGGCCGTCTGCTGAACCTAAGCTGCTCCACAGTGCCTACGTTTGTGCTCTCAATCACTGCTACCACTCAGGTAAGGCCACCTTGTGAAAAGCAATGGGCTAGAGCGGGTCCTTGACAATCAGGTTATTAGTTAACTGTGGGACAGACTGCTGTCAATGGCACATCAGCATTAATCTCTCTGCTTTTTTAGGCTCTTGCCTTGATAGAGCTTTACAATGCTCCTGAGGGTCGCTATAAGCAGGATGTCTACCTGTTACCTAAGAAAATGGGTAAGCCTGCACTCTCCTATCCCCATCCTCACTGGTGTGGTTCAGAGTCAGAGGGTTAATGAAGTTCAAAGACATGAGATTTCTTATGGATAGAAAAGGCAAAAGATACCTGTCTTTATCAGACCCCAGTTTTAGTTGACTTGTTACATTTTCCACAAGTGTCACGACATCCATGATGTTGTGACATTTTACTATGATGTCATTTACCTCTCTCTGAATTTAAGGATTTTCTCTCAAAGATTCTTGTGTGCAAGTATTGCTACAGAGAAAAATATCTTCCCCCAAGAGTGAAGAGTCCTCTTCTATCTTAGGACATCTGATTTATTCCAGTTCTAAGATACTAAGTAGCTCCTACCAAATTTTCCTCAAACCAAGCAGGATTTTTCCTACTATACCTTCTAACTCTAATCTCACAGTTTCAAGCAAAAGAAAAGGACTGAATAGCTTGTTGGGAGTTTAGTTATGTGGGGTGTTATGTAGAAGAGAAACACTAAACTGTCTTGAATTTTTAAAGAACCTGCCGCAGGTGCCTGAATGAATGCAAAGTTCAAGGAATAAATCGGCTTCTGGTTTTATTTTAGCACTAACTCATACTAACTGTTAGATGTCAGCATATTTGCTCAAAAATATATTTTGGGAGGATATAAAATGAACAGTCCATATTTTGACTGATTATATCATGAAGTTAGGGAGACTAAACAAATACATAGGAAATGATGTAAAATTCTGAGTAAGTGATATGTGTTCAAGTAGATGGGATGTCAAAAGAAACCCATTAGAACTGAGTTCTAAAAAGCACTTTTTGTAATAGCCTTATTAATTATTCCTTCCTGATTTTCCCAGTTCTTAGTAACCCAAAGGTTAGTCTAAGGCAGAACTAAAATTGTAGCTTCCTAATTTTTGGTTCATTTACTCTTCTGTCCTCCCTTTTAGATTCTCAGCCCTGTGCTTCCTTCATTTATCCCAGATCTTTTTGGGAGAAGGAAAGGTTCAAGCCTGAAATAGCTAGTGAGGAAGCGATGTTACAACTTTACAGACCACTGGGCTTGAAGTGCAAGCATTCATTCCTTAGAACTGAGGGCCAGTGAGCAAAAGTTGAGTATTTGTCACTCAACTCTAGGAATTAGGTGTGTTCCAGAATTTTAAGACCTAGCCTGGAGAGAACAGTAGTCAAGAGTCATTAATACTTACACTGGGTTTTCTGTGGTCTGTTCCAGATGAGTATGTGGCAAGCCTACACCTGCCCACCTTTGATGCCCACCTGACTGAACTGACAGATGAGCAGGCCAAGTATCTGGGACTCAACAAAAATGGGCCCTTCAAGCCTAATTACTACAGGTGCCTTGGGTTCCCCAGAAAACAAAGAGGCCTGGGTAACAAAGAGCTTCCTGCACTGGAATTGAACTTTGTATTCATCACCACAATTATGTGAACTCAGAAAAATGAGCTCACTCCCCCTCACTCACACCCCCAAAGACTCTTTGAAGTCTTCTCTAGACAAATTCTTGAATTTGCCTTTCTCCATTTCATTCTCTTGATGTTTACATGCCGATGGAGAAATACTAGTCTTTCTGATATGAGAAAGTGCCATAATTATGTACCCTCACCATATGCTTCAGAGAAGTCCCTGCCTCCCAGTTAGGGCTTTAGGCAAATTTCATGTCCTGGTAACCCCACAGGGCGATAACATCATAGTCTCATCTTTCTTTTCCCCTCCAGGTATTAAGTTCCTGTAACTCAAGCCAGATGAAGTTTTAAGGAATAGAACTCCAAGTCTTTTCTTCACTCCTATACAGGAAAGAATCCAGCAAGCTGCTTCTCCAATCAGCTACCCGCCGTGCTCACCCTATATGTTAGGTTATTTATTTATTAAAATCTAGAATCCTGTGCCTGTTGCCTTGGCCCATAGTGTGGTTACTGCCCTGAATGCCGGGAGAGCCACAGAGAGCAAGTTGAGGAAGGAAAGAAATGGGGTAACCATTCCTAATGCATCTCTTGCATCATTCCCCATTGACTGAATCCTCAGCAGTGGTCATTTTTCTCTTGTCCAGGCTCAGGAGATAGTGCAGGGATTCCAGACTCCTTGTTCCCTGGAGTTTTCTGGAATAAATGTTCAGCAACTGCCTTTCTCAGCTTTGGCCTTTCCCTAGGTGAGGCCTTTTGGAAGCCACTGAATTAACATGACCTGGGTTCCCAGCCTTGACCATCACTGTCACTGCCTTCTTTATAAAATGGCTAGGAAGGAGTGTTTTGGCTTTGACAAGCGACACTAAGAACTCAGCTGTGCCTTTGCTTACTGGGAGTATCCTTCCTTTCCTAAGACGCCTTTCTTCTCCTTAAATATGTCCATTTTAACATTTTCTGGTTCCAAGAGGAATGTGCCTCCATTATTTCCTCAGCAGCTCTGGTGTTTGTCAGACATCCATTTTGCCCTCTAACCCAATGGCCCTCTACTCAGGAAGTGGGGGCCAGCCCTGCTCGGGCCCATAGTTTTGCTTCCTTGTCATTTCCCTGGGTAGTTTCCCAGGGTACTCACTTCAGATTTGTACTGTCTCAGAAAGAGGTGTTTATTATGAATCACTGATTCCTGAACCTCCTCATTGCCTAAAACTACTTCTGAACCTGAGTAGAGAGAGACATGCTCTCCATGAGATTTCAGGCTCACATCTAGACATCCAAACAAAGCAGAATATACTTGTCTCCTGGGAAGGGCTTTTCAGCTTAACTGAGTTTAACAGAATAAACTATACACTGTAAACTGTGTCCAGGTGATCAGAGCTAGTTTGACTGGTTTGAACCTCATCAGACATTCATCCCTTTAGCCATCACTGTTGATGAGACTCAGATCAAATGTCTGCAACTTAGAACATGGGCTTCTCTGCTAAGATACCTTCTTATGCTCTGGCTCCTTCCATTTTAGGATTTCATATTTCAGAGGTAGTTTATTGAGTAATCCCAACTTTATAAAACAATTAGTAATGTGAGCAGCCTGAAATTTTATGTCCCACCAAAGTTTGGATTCCTTTTGACGACTGACATATCAGTCTTAAGGATTCCACTGGGGTCAGATCAGTTCTAAGAGTTAAAGTCTGGAGTGGCCTTAGGAATTTTGAATGAAATGAGTCCCATCCCCCACCACCACCACCACTAGTCCTATTTAACACTCTCAGGTTTGATTATTTGCCCTTTTTTACCCCCATCCTGATCTGCCTCCAAGTCTCGAGACCAAGGTGACTCAAGGTGACTCAAGGAAACACCAGGCCACCCAGGATTGATCACTATGATCTTCCCATCTTGTCCTCCTCCCTTACCTCCACCTTCTCAAACTTCCCCTGTCTTTACATTACATCCTCAGAGCTAGTCTGGAAGTAACCTTCCTTTTGGAGGTCTGGAGGTGAGCCCTTGAGTAAATGGCGGTTTGTTTCACTAAATAGTAGATAGGCTCATCCCATAGAGTCTGGTTCTTCAGAGGCCATATATTTTAGAAAGGATGAGGAAAGTACCACATGTATGGCTGTCTTCTTTCATGAGGATAATCATAAATGCTGAAAATTCCACTAGGATGCTCAGCTCTTCCTTTTGCCTACCTCATCTGATTTTGTATTAATTTGTCAGATCACTGTAGCAAAAGATTTAGATCTTTGTGTCTCATTTTATATCCAATCAAGATTCCACTAGGCAGATATCTGGGCTCTAGGCTATTGCATGTTGGGTCAAAAATCATAACCTGCAGTTTTTGAGCAAAGTTGGGCTCTCTCTGGAGCTTTCTAAATACCGATCCTGCTAGAGCACACTCTGCCTTGTTATAGTGAAGAGAGCCATTCCAACTTCAAAAAGGAGTCACATTTGGCTTCTAGGTTAGGTTACCAGTGTTGCCACCCATGGTGAGGTGTATAGCCTCTGAGTTTCAGAGGACTCCACTTCCTTTCTCTCTGGGGAACCTGTGTCAGCTAGCATGAAAAGGAGAGACCCAAGCCAACCTAGTGTTGGAAATTAGCCACTATACCCTCTCCCCTTGGAATCAGAATAAATGTATCTTCTTCCTTCAAGCTTTCATCTATGCATCCTAAGAAAGAAGATTATCTCTTTCCCTCTGAGTTGTTTTCTTAATGAATTCTTCAAATTCTTAATGAATTTGTGTTAGTTTCAAGGTCTTTTTTGTGTGTCTTAATGGAAATATACTCACTTTGCTTTTTCCCATTATAAAAAGTATCTGGTCTACCTTCCTTTTGTCCTCCCACCTCTCCATCCTAGCCTCCCATATGAGCACGGCGTCCCATGGCCACATACTCCTGCGAAGCTTTTTTGCTGCTTGGCTTTTCTCTGAACAGATCTGAAATTGCTGCTCCTGTGGTTTTCTCAAAATTAACTTTGTCATGGTTTTAAAAAAGAAATCACAATGCATTGTTGCATTAAGCTTTTTTAATAAAGGAAAATTACAGAAAGAAAATAGGCAACACCAGCAAATTATATGTGGACTAGTTCTAAACTATATATACATACACACATATATTTCATATATATATATATATATACACACACACACACATATATATGTGTGTATATATATATATATATATATATATATATATAAACAATCACCTCGTTCTCATTGTCATCTTACTGAAAGGATAGAAAACCTCTAAGGATCACCATTTCTGAGAGGCTCTTGGAAATCTTTATGTCTAAGTGATTGTATTAGATCAGCAATAATGACTATGTAATCTCAAAAGATAAATAAAATATTCTTAAAATGGGATCTTGTCTTATGAGTATTCCTTGCTTCTGTGAACCAAGAATTTGGAGATAAGATGTTTCTGAGCAAAAGGCTAGAGAGCCTGCTTCAGGGCAAGAATATGAAGCGCTGAAACAGTTCCTACTTGGCATGTTTGAGTGACCTAACATTGCATAAAGAACCAGCTTTCTCAGAACAAAGAAACTAAACCTCTTAAGACAAAGAAACAAAAACCTCATTCTCTTTCTGCTACCCTTAGCTAGAGAGCCTAGGGTTGGGCAGTGCTGTTACTTGAGGTCAGTGGACCCTGATACCAGTTCCTTGCTACATTCAACAAAGGGGAAGTAAGACATGTATCTGGCAGGATTGGTCTCTAAGCCAGTTTTTTAATGAGAGGATGAATCCAACCCCCTGTGCTTTCTCAGTTACCACTTTTGAGTAGCTTTCTGATAGCCACCTTTCGCTGACAACCTCAACTACTTTATCCTGTATACAAGATGTTTTCTTCCCTATCAAGATCTGCTAGCACTTTGACTTAGTTTAGCCACAGGGCTAAAACAGTCTGGACAGCTTGCCATGGCCCAAAGCTGGTACTAATCCAGTTGAGAATGTAATGAAGACTGTGAGCCAGCTGACAGGATTTGCTCCCTGCAACAGGGTTTGACTCTGTTTTTGTGAATGATAGCCATAATTTTAGACTCACAGGGTTTAGTATATCTAAAGACTGACTCTTGTTATTTCCTTAATTTGTGGTATTGTAGAAAGCTTGGACTTTGAGTCAGTCTAACTTGACCAGCTCTGCCATTTACAAGTTGTATAGCAAACTATATAACCACTCAGAGGCTTAGCTTTCTTGCCTGAGAAATGAGTAATGTTAATCTCTTGAGGTAAGCATTTAATAACCTGATTTAATTAAAAATTTAAAAAAGACCTGGCACACACTAAGTTCTGCATAAATATCAATTCCATGACTTATGTATGGTCTGCAGTCTCCATCTCCTCCTCATACCCATTTATGCCCTTGCTGATGAGAAGAGGGTATTCTGAACTTACTCGCCATTTTCTGGGTGGCCTGATGTCCTACGTGCTTTTAAGGTTTTTGGCATCTTAATTTTAAGCTTTTCAGTACTTTATATTTTATCAAGAATCTTACCTCTATAGAATGGAGAGCCTATGAGGGAAAAGAGTCTGTCTGGCTCTTGTAACTACCTATTTAGACCTCCCACTCTGCCAGCAACCTGAGTTCTGGGATAAGAGGAAGTGGTAGAGTGAGTTTAAAAATATCTTGGCACTAGAGCCTTCTGTACAAGATAGACTAGTAGACCAGCCTCTAGTTGGCGGCTTGCTGAATTTATGGGTGCTTCTGTGGTCAGTGGTATTGATGACTGTCGGTTCTTTGTTGACAAATAAGATGACAGAGATAAGTATGCCGATTCCATGGCCTGTAGTTTCAAAGTTTTCAATTAATCCAATGGTTTCTTCTTACTTTTTCTAGGAGACGTTTCCTTCTTAAACAAGTTCTGAAAGTCTAGGCCTAATAAGCAGATAGATGTTTATCTTTGCTTCTCCCATTCCACTGGGGTGTTGGAAAGAATGGATTGAGGTCTCTTCTCATGTTAAATCTCTGCAGTCTTCATGGCACGAATTTTTAAAACCTCTTCTCTGGAAATAAAGCCAGATGGAGCTATAGGCTCAGCATTTGACTTTACATAGAGGTCAGAAGGGACTTGAGAACTGTCCTCAATCTAATTCCCAAAGGAAGATCACTCTGTTCTTTGCTTCAGAGGTAGATTGGAAAAAGAATAAAGCCTCAAAATTGTGCAATACCATCAGTCTACAGCTGCTACCATTGGGAATACTGCATACCTCCTTCATTATGCCCTGATGACTGCCTGGGATCACAAAAGAGAATATAAAATTCTGGGATTGTCAATCCTAGAGCTGTGCTTGCTGGGAGAAAGATTGGGAAGAGGAAAGAATAATTCATCTTTTTATTAAGAAACCCCATTGGGCTTTACTGTGGCAGGTTTACCACATTGAAGCAGTGATGAGGTAGGCGTGAGTTGTGAATTTTAAGGCAGAGTGTGAATCTTTAAAGAGTTTAACAAGTTATATACCCTGGTTGGGGGGGGGGGGAGGGAATGCTAAAATCAAATGCTAGTTTGGGCCTTGAGCCAGGGACTTCCTTGGAAATCCTTGAAATTTGTATCAACTCAATTCTGTTAGACCAGTGCATCTTAACTGCAGAAGATCTTGCCTTCCAGGGAACATTTTGCAACATCTGTAGACACTTGATTGTCCCAACTAGGGGGAAGGTACTACTAGAGAAGAGATGCCAGGGATTCTATTGCACACCCTACCCCACAGGACAGTACCCCCACCCCAATGACTTTTCCTAGTAAGTAGAACAGAAAGCCTGTGTTAAAACATCTATTAATGAGACATTTAAAAAAATGAAATCTGATCCTATTTTCAAGGAGCTGATACTAAGATTGGGGGAGGACCGGTGGTTTGGGAGCAGAAAATGGGAAATAATAGGCACATTAGGAGATGTTGAGGACTAGGGAGAGAAAGGAACTAGGAAAACTCCAAGGAGTAACTGAATATGTGGGTACCTTTTTTCTTTCTCCTATCCCTAATAAACCTGTTCTTTAAAAATGTGAAAAAGAGAAAAAGAAAACTCCAAGGAATGTTTACTATTTTAACTGTCACCTGCTGACTAGTAGTGTGAGGAGATAAAAGTTAAGAAAGGGATAGAGCTGTGCATAAGATACAGGAAGTGGGAGTTTTCCTGTGAGCCATGGGCTTTAGGATATAGTAAAAAATACAAGGATTTTGGATCCAAGCACTTGACACCAGCCTGAATAGATTAAGGAGATCAAAAGGAAGCCTTTCTGGAGGAGTTGGAAACTATGGAAGTATAGATGTTGGCCAAGAGAAGAGCAGAGTTTCTTGCAAAGAGAACAGGATATGCAAAGGTATTGAGACAAGATAGGAGTTTGATAGCTTGGGTACAGCATAATTAATGTCAGTGAGTCCAAGTTTTCTCAACAGTAATGCTGTAGTAATGAAAATAATGGACAAAGAGGTATGATGTGGAACGTGCTTTGTGAATGCAACTCCTGGAACAAATTGGCAGTTCAGCAATCTCCCCACTTCTTACCTACTTGGTTCCACTTAACTCCTCTTAGCTTCCTTGTTGGGGCATCTATTATCAACCCAGAGAGTTGTTTGTTCATTCATTTATTCACCATTTTTTATTTTCTTATATTGTTCATTTTTGCACAATATTTGATTTCTCCCCTCAGGTGTCGTCTCCATAAACCTCCCACCACCACATCACGGGTGAACTGTCACCATCGTCCCTGTGATCGTCCCTGTTTTGACCCTTCTCCCTCTCCCTCCCCTCCTGTAAGTCTCTGATCTATAGTTTGCCTGAAAGTTTTGTCTGGTTTTTTTTTAACCCTTTGTCCAGCTTTCCTATATTCCTGAACCATCTGATATATTTCTTTTTCCTTCCAACCCAGACAGTTTAAGTACTTACCGTAAACTGCTTTTTAGATCAGTTTCAGGGCGGGCAGACTACACAGCCTCGACTGCTCCAGGTAAAACTCAGCCTTAAGGAAAGATCCTAGAGGAATGGAGAAAGGACTGGGGGTCAGGTGGGTGGGGGCTTGTTCTCTAGGCGACATTTACATTCCTCAGTTCACACCAGGAAGATGCCCCATTTCAGCAGAGAAAGCCAGATGACCAGAAGCCCTGAAGGACACCAGCAATTCAGTGAAGTAAACACCCCCTACCGCCGGGAGGGGTGAGTTCTCTTCAGAAATCCCAGCTCCCAGAAAAGGGCAGGTCCCTGTTAACTACGGTGTCCCAGGCCAGTGCCGTCCCTCCCAGCGACAGAAGCGGGACTTGGGGACAGAGGTCTGCGGTAATGGGGGAACACAGACTGCAGTGGAGCGTGAGGCGGAGACTAGAGCTCCCGAAAGGTCGCTGTTTGGGAGGGGGTGAGCGCTGAGGGACACCGAGTGAGAAGCTAAGAGATAACCCAACTGAATTCAGGACCGGGAATTCGGAAGGTGAAGCCGGGAGCCAACACCCCTGGAGACTCTGGTTCCAAGCAGCGCAGCAGGACTCAAAAAAATAAAAAGGGGGGAAAAAAAATCCCTGAATGAGCCCCCACCTCCTGCAAGTCCCGCCCGAGAGATGGAAAAACCAATCGAGAGGCGGGGCGGGGCTTCGGGTAGAGAATTCAGCCAATAGTTGAGAAGGGGGCGGAGCCTGCCCCGGGCGCGCGGCAGTGGGGTCGCTCCGGGCAGTGAACGCTGAGCGGCTGAGGGGAGCCACTAACCCAAGCCGCATGGAGGACCCCGGGGCACCCGGGGCCGGCTGCCCGCCAGCCAACGGCAACGGTAACGGCAACGGCAACGGTGGCGGCAAAGGGAAACCAGCGGCGCCCAAAGGCCGGGAGGCGTTCAGAAACCAGCGGCGGGAGTCGGAGGTGAGGAGCCCGAAAAGCTTCAGTTGGGGCCGGGAGACACCCGCGGGCGGGAAGCGGCAACTGAGGTGATTCGGACCCGACACCCTGCTCGCTGCCGAGATCCCTCAGCGCGCCGACTGCCGCTCGAAGCTGCCTGGGTTCTGCAGCCGCGAACCCTTCTCAGCAGCGTCCTGCACGCGCGGGTCGGGTGGCTGCCTGGCTGGCCTCCCCTCCCCTCAGGGTGGGGGGGCGCGCAGATGTCGCTACCAGCTACTTTGCAAATATTTATCTCACTTCGACCCCTTGCTGGAGAAATTCATCTGTGCAATTTACAGGTAAGGACTCAGACACGGGAGGTTAAGGGGCCGGCCTGATGGGGGGAGCCCAGAGCTCCGTCGCAGTGAGGGCGTAGGTAGCTGCCCTCCCACCTCGATGCACCCAGAGCGCTGGGCCCGCTGTGCCTCGGATCTACACATGCCCCCAAACCCGCGGGTCCGCAGGCCCTCGGGGAGTGCCCTAGGCGGACGTCAGGACCCTACCAGTCAGGATTACCCCAACACGACTCAAGGCTGGCCGGACTGGAGCAGGTGTTTGGGTGGAACTGCCCAGGACACAGACCCACAGATAGGACTGGGTCTCTTACCCTTCTGAAAAGAAACCCTCATGCAGCCAGTTTCCATCAACTGACCAAGAGCAGGATTGGATTTGTGTGACCATTCAGGAGAATAGATGACAAAATGTCAGCTGTGAAGGTTCTGTTCAGATCATCTGGTGTTAGCTCTTCCTTGCACAGAAATAAAAGAGACAGAAGTCAGTTGCCCAAGATCATATATCTGGCAGAGGGACCAAGGTTTTGAGGTCAGTCAAAACGGGTTTCGAATCCCAGTCCTACCACTTACTGCCTTTGGCAAATGCCCAGCTCCAGTTTCTTTATCTGTGAAATGAGGTTAACACTACCTACCTCAGAAGGTGGTGGTAAAGTCAAATGAGATAATTGAATGTAAAATATTTAGTTCAGGGCAGTCAGGGTGCATGTAAGTGGTCATTTCTTAGTGCTGTATTACTATCCTCAAGTGGTAGAACTAGAAGCCAGATGTTAGGCATTCTAGTCCACTCTTTACTATTTGAATAGCATTTTAGTTTCCAAAGGGATTTCATGTATGCTTCTCATACATGAAGTGAGTAGGAAATGCAACCCATTTTTTAAGCGAAAAGGGGAGAACAGACTGACCTAACGTCACACCACCTTCAGGTCCTAGCCATCAAGTCATCTCCCTCTCTACCTCGGTATAACCCTGACCTTTGAAGGCACCCCGTACCTCCTTCCCCAATCATTGTTCTTGCTCAATTTTGAGGAGGGGGGTGAGTCATTATTAATTCAACAAGTCTTTTCTATATGCTTGTGGGGTTTTAGGTGTAAGGATTCAGTGTGAACAAGACAAGGTCTTTGCTCTGTGAAACTAACATTCTAGTAGGGGTGGAAGGACAGACAGTGACAAATAAAGCTCCTTCTGACATAGAAGACCTTTTCCTCATCTATCAAGTCTTTTCAGGAAAAGGCTCTGGTAGCATTCTAGGTTTACTGATGAGTGCAGTATCCAGAGACTCAGCTTTCCCCCAGCACCGCAGTGTGCCTCTGATTGTCTGCAGCTGCACTTTCCACGCTTGGAAATGAACAACTGCAGCGGGCCTCTCTCTCCAGGCTCATTGCCTGCCAAACGCTGGCTGAAAAAAATTAGCTTTTCTCCACCTTCCACTGCAGCAGGAGAACTGCTTTTACCTATCAGTACTTCCCTATAGCTACAACACCCAGTGCCAGACCAGTCGACTATCGGCTTTTCCTTTCTCCCTCCTTATGCTTTCCTGTGGAAGACAGTCCTCAAGGGAGACAGTGTTTTCTCTCTAGGGCTTGTAGAGGATTACTACTGGCCCTAGTCAAGAGAGCATTCTTGTACATCACTGTATTTATGGTTCATTATCTAAGGCGGTTGATGAAACCATTGACTATGGTTGAGCTTAATTTTTAGTCTTCTCTTCTTGGATTCAAGGCCAGCTCTTCTTTGAAACTCTCTAAGGGCTCACCTTGAGTCACCTTATTAGTATAAACTCACATACTGTTGACTGGGGCACTTTATGAATAACAGATGCCCCTATCACTCAAAATCCCAATGGTTTTAGGAGTTCTGTTCCAGGAACTCCAGGATAAAGACCAAAAATTTTTTTTGTACCACACTAAGGGTATGAAACTTGCTCAAGATTACATAATATGTGACAGAACTGAAATTTAAAGCTTCTTAAATTCATTATATTAATATATACTAGTAGGAAATATGCCCAAATACTTACAGAGGTTAGATTATATATATGTTATCTATAACATAACAAAACATCCTAAGAAATCTAGTCTTTGACAAACCATAGATGTGACGCATACAGCAGAGGAGGGGGAAGGAGCAGGGTCAAAACAGGGGAGGGAAGAGCACAAAAGACTAGAGTGAGAGTTAACAGGTGCTGTGATGGTGGGAGAACTATGGGAACTACTTGAGGAGATAAACAAATACTGCACATAAATGAACATTAGAATCCAATTCTCTTGGGTTTTGTCCATTTTGTTTTTTTTTCCTAGAAATCAGCAAGATGTTTTTATGGCCTTTGTTTATGTAGCTCAGATACGGGCACTGAGTGTAACTTTCATATTTGTCCACAATCCTGGTCTTTTGCCCAGAGTTTCTATTCTATGTAGGACTCTTCAGCTTCTCCCTGCACTGACCTCAAATTTTGGGTTGAAAGAAGGTACTTCTTGGATGAAAGACCTAGATGGGAATCTCCCAACTCTCTTTCCAGTCTAAGCTTTGCTTCCAAAGGGGGAAAGATGAAATGAGAGGATAATCTCCTTTTGTCAACCCCTTTTCCCAAGTTATCACAAAGATTTCTTCATTACAGGGCTCTGTGGACTGCCCCACTCTGGAATTTGAGTATGGCGATGCAGATGGACATGCAGCAGAGTTGTCAGGTATGAAAGGCCTGTGAGTGGAAACATGGCCAGGAGGAGAGGAAAGTGGCCTGAGCCACTGTTATCTTGTCTGTTCTCAACAAGTGGCTGTTGAACAAGAACTTTGGCCACATTGCCTCTTCTCTCCATCCTCTAGTGGTAAACAGCTTTATTTTCACATTTCCTTCTGTGAATTTTTCCTTAGTGTTCTTCATTCTTTTATTCTATCACTCTATCTGCTTATCCTTCCTTCACTTTTGGTACAGTCACAAATCTGTTTTCTCTCCATCTTCTCCCCATTTCTCTTCTCTTCTCTTTCTCTTGCATATTTGCCTATATCCTCTTCTGTATGCCACCCTCTCCCTCTCCATCCTGTTCCATCTGTCCTATTCCATCTCTTCCTTTCCTCTTCTACCCCTATCTTTCTCCCTTCACTAACATATGCCCCTTATTAAAATCTCAGCTATGTCTGAGTGAAAACTATAGACAACTGGTAAGCTAAGCAATACTGGATATGTCACCTATATCCACCATAATGAACTCCGCTTGGATGTTTTCTGAGCTAGAAATAAAGGATCCATTTCCTTCAGGACTGGACCGCTTTTCTTTGGCTTTGTAGTTTAGGCTAAATGTGATCTCCTCATATAAGGCCTTCCGTGTTACACGTGCTATGAATGCCAGTTATTAATAAATGAGCTTTTGGTGGAGACGATGTGAACATTAAATATTCTGTCACATGGAAGCAGCACTTTGAGACATGCTTTTTCAGAAAAAAATGTTTTTAAAGAAGTGAATAAGCACAGGGAATAAATTTCATGAGTGACAGAAATAGAAAGCTAAGCTTAATAATCATCAAAGAATTTGAATCAGAATGTGGGTATGAGTGGATCTCTAAAGGGAGAATAAGAGATTGAAAAGATGAACAACTCAATAGAGATGTGGTCAAAGAATATGAATAGGAATTCATAGAATGCAAGACCATATGGCCACTAAATATTTAAAAAGATGTTCAGTTATACTAGTAAATGAGAAAAAGCAAATCAAAATAATGAGGTAAGACTTATTTTTCTCAGATATCAAACCTTAAAAGCCTGGGCAAGAGAATAGAGAAATGAGTAGGCATGAGGGAACAGAATTTAACACTGGAGAGCAATTTGGTAATAACTAGGAAAGTTAAAGATACATTCGTATTATAACCCATGAATTCCACCAGATTTACATACTACAGAGACACTTGAGCGTAAGACAACATGTATGAAAATGCTTATTGGAGCTATTGTGAAAAATTGAAAATAATTTAGTAGGGGAAGGGATAAACTGTAGTAATATAGTAGGCTGCTATTTAGCCACTAAAATAATGAGCTTAATATGAGTGTTTAATATGAGCCACTAAAATAATGAGTTCAGTATCAATAAATGTTAAGAACATAATACCAGGGGAAAGAAACAGTGACAAAATAATTTATACAACATGATACTCCTTGGACAGAAACTTTAAAAACATGATCTATAGGTTGCTTATAGGTGTATAGATATGTAGTGAAAGTATAAAAATTAACATGTGAAACCCACTCACCAATTTTATTATGGTGGTTACCTCTAGAGAGAGAAATAAGACAGATTGGAGAGGATGAAATCCTAAATGTCTGGACATTTGTTTAATTTGAGTGGAAGATACACACTATATGTATTCTATACTTACCTATATATGAAAATTGTAATCTAAATTTTAAAAAGTGAAAAGTTGAGTGCATAAGAGCCCTGCTCCCTTCTCTGACTGGGTTTGCACTCACTCTTTAAAAATACATATCCACATTACTCACTATGACTGGAGAATTTAAGATTTAGAGGGAATTTGCTTCCAGTCATTCCAGGATTCTAGAACTCAAGATTCAAAAGCCCTGGCTCCCACACAAGGTGTTTTCCAAGTATTAGACAGCTGGCTGGAACATAAGTGAATTTTTCTTTCTTTGTGAATTATCTGTGACCTAGTTAAAATTCTAACAAGGGTCTCAGTTGAGGGACAGATTTTGAGGAAATCTGGGAAATCTGTACTGTCACCTACTGAATTCTTAAAATCAATTCTTCATACTCTGTAAGATGAGACTATTGGTAAAAGGTCTGTGTGTGGGGTGGGGAGGAGAGAGAACATTTTTATTTCTTTAAGTTCTCTGCATTTTATATTGAGAGGCTACTGTGAAGTTAGATTTTTCTGGGCACAGGCAGTCCTTTGGCAACCATGGCTGGTTTGATGCTGCCTCAGTCCAGGTGGATGTGAGAAAGAACCTAAAACTTCTATACCTTTCGAGGAAACTAAAGAGGAAGAATGAGCTGACTCCAGCCCTAAGAAGCCATACTCTCCAGTCCTTACACTAACTCTAAATAGCACAGGATCCTGCCCCTAAATTTCAGGAGGGCCTCCCTGGTGGCCCTAGAGTTAAGTCTCAGCTCTACCACCTTGAGGGCCAACTATGACTAATGCCTGAGTGGCATCAGACTAATGGCCTGAATTTGATCCCCAGTACCTAACCAGGGGGCTAATTCACACATGGCACAGCAGACCTCTCCTGTCTCACCCTCTATTCCCCTTAGCAGTGTATTTCAGTAGATCAGCCATTTCTGCTCCCCACTCTGTCTCTGGTGAAGCCTCTCAGCCCCCATCTCTGACCTATACCCCAGTTCTTCTATGTAAAAATAAAATATTTTTTTAATGAATGTTTAAATTGTATATTTAAAAAAGTTCAGGAGATGTATTTCCTCTTCCTAAAGACAGTATAGTGGACCTTGGTGGACAAGCAGAATGGGCTGAGTCCTAAGAAACAGGAATGATGATGACATTAAGTCCTTTTTGCTGCAACTATCCCCTTGGCCCTGACCAAATGTTGAGGGCCGCCTTCTCTGCTATAGCAGCCAGCTGGCAGGAGGAGGACAGGTTTGATGGTTTAATCACCCAGGGACACAAATGGCTATTTTTAACTGCTCCAGAAGGGAGGACACTGGCTCTGGATTGAATTGGACACAGGAATGTGTTGGAAGCCTTAGCTCTTTCATGCCACCCTCGCTATCCCAGGCCTCTTCTGTAAGGGCCTGCTGAATGTGTGTCACTATTCTATCTTTCCTTCCACAGAATTGTATAGCTACACTGAGAACCTGGAATTTACCACTAACAGGAGGTGCTTTGAAGAAGATTTCAAGACTCAAGGTGACCCCAGATCCTTATTCACAGAGACCTTTTCCTTCCATGGTATCCCAGCCTGATCTAGAAAAAAATCTAAAACAACGTATGACCTTTCTTCATTCTTTCCATAACCATATGGCTTCTCTACCCCCTCACCCCTTCTTTCATATGGGGTAGACTTTCCTATATCTCCAGTGGAGTAGCCATGGAGTAGAAGCAAGAGAAGCCTGGGCTGAGTCCCATTCCCTGATATAAAGCACCAAGAGAACAGAGGCATGGTGAGGTGGGGCTGGGCTGGTGGCCTACTGCTGATAGATCCCTGTGTCTAGTCAAGCCCTTGACTTAATGTTCAACCCCTGCCTCCAAATCTGCCTTACTCCCAGTGACAGCTAACAATAATTTCATGTACCCAGTTGTGACCCTCTTGAACCTCCTTTTCCTTGCTTAGTAATAATTCCATTTTCAGCTCAACAAATGTGTAGTGAGAACATGTTTTGTGTCAAAGATTCAGGAATTAGAGGTGAAGGTGGATTTACAGTATCTTCAAAGAGGTGATAAACCAGTAGCAGAGGTGTGTATATATATATATGTATACACACACACACACACACATACATCATAAACCTAGCTAAGGTCAAGAGGAAAATAACAATTGTCATAAGAGAGGTAAAAGAACATCTTAGGGGACACAAACCTTCTGGCTAGAGCTTTAGTGAGAAAGATGGTTTTGAATTGCTTCTATAAGATTGGGAAAGAGGTAATTTTGGGCCTGTAAGAAGGACTGGAATTGGATATGTAGGGAAATGTAACCATTTGAAAAGGAAGAGGAGAGTGTATAAGCTGGATGGGATGTAGAAGACAGAGAAGATATGGAGGAAGATGAGGTAGCAGAGTAGGTTCAGGTGAGCTGAACATTTGAGTCCTTCTGTCAGCTCTTAATCTTCCTGAGTTAAATAAGGAAAGCTTTAGAAAAGAAGAATTTGTTGCAGTTGAGATATGAGATACGTGTTATCAGGAACCTTTCAAGAGATCATATGTGTATGATGTTCTGTCCACAGTACAAGGCAAGGAGTGGCTGGAATTGGAAGAAGATGCTCAAAAAGCCTATGTAATGGGACTCCTGGACCGGCTAGAGGTGATCAGTAGGGAGCAGCGACTGAAGGTAGCCAGGGCTGTTCTCTACCTGGCTCAAGGTGAGGTAACTTGAGAGGAGTGGAATTTAGGGAACAAAATGGTCCTAGCATGGGAAAATAAGGTCCCTGCTTCCCAAGGACAGAATTTGTCTTGTGATAAGAATAATTTGGTGTTTGTAAAGAAGATGACGAGATGGTGATCCCTTGGGGTTAGCTTTTATCTTAGCAGGCATGCCAGGATTCTTTTAGGTATTTTTGCCCTTAACCTGAACTGTAATTTTTTCACATGTGGAAAAAAGCAAGAGAGACAATGTACCCAGAGCTGGCAGCGTACCACCAGCTGAGTAGGAAGGTGGATTTTTTTTTAATCCCTATAGGCTGGCCCCAGCACTGAGACCATAGACACACACCCATATGGATCCTCTACTTTGTCCCTCATTGGTTTTTAGCAGGTTCAAGTCAGCATAGCAGCAGGTGTGGATGCTGTGAGTAATTTGGGGGTGATTAGATCTCAGTGAGGTTAATTGGGAGAAGCTTCCCAAAACAGACTTGTTGGCCAGGTGTTAAGAGAAATGAGATGGTTTAGCTGGCATGGTGAAAATAAGCCCTGAAATAAAAAATAAGAAAACTATTAGTCAAAGGAACTAGCTTAGCTGGGAGCTAAAAAAACTATAAAAGAAAAAGTCAAAGATGGAAGGGAAGAGGATAGACACTGAGTGAATGGAAGACTATAGCAGCCAAGGCAGTGCTCACCCATCTCTTGGGTCTGGGTCTCTGGCCAACTTCCAATATCATCTTTTCACCTGCGGGCATTCTCAGCAGCTCACCTAAGGGCAGCCAGGAAGTGGTGGGGAATTGATGTGCTCCCCTAGCCCAGCAACACTCTTCACTGAGACTTATGGGAGTTGTTAGTAGATGAATAGTTTAACTACCTCACCCCTCTTGGGTGAGAGAATTCCGAGTTGTGTTGTATGCTATTTCCCACAACTGCCTTCTCTAGAACTAAGCTCTTAGATGCCTTCTCTTCCCTGTCTCTTGCCTGTCTCATTTTCCTACATCTCCACTGGTGGTTCCTGGTATCATCTCCTAAATAAAACTTGTACTTTAATATAATGTTTCTCAGGGAACTCAAATTTAGAGAGGCTGCTGATGAACACAGTGAAGACTGCCTCTCTTTCCCCCTGACTTATTCCAGGAAGTTTTAGGGGAATGCTTGCCCCAACTTCATCGGTCTAACTGCAAGGCATGATTGGGAGATAGTATTAAGATTGTGGCAAGAATTGGGTTGTCCTCTTCCCCTCAACCCCATGGCACTGTCTGATTCCTTAGGCACTTTTGGAGAATGTGATTCAGAGGTCGATGTGCTACACTGGTCCAGGTACAACTGCTTCCTGCTCTATCAGATGGGGACCTTCTCAGCCTTCCTGGAGCTACTCCACATGGAAATCGAGTGAGAAGCCTTAGGGGAGGGCTGACCTAGACATTCATCTTCCTTGAAGGGTGTCTCATGTTCTATGCTGTTTCCCTCACTGGGGAGACCTGTGGTGAGCTGGGTCTCCCATACTTCAACCCAGACCTCACAGACAGTTCCTTCCCAGCTATCTGGCCTCTCTGATATTCTGTCTTCCTCTCTGAGGTTGGGCTCAGCAGCAACATCTGTTCCATTTACAGTTTCAATCCTGGGCTTCAGGGGCCTATCCTGGGTGGGTTCCCATTTTATTCAAAACACCTTCTCAGCTCAGCCTACTGTGGAATTCCAAACCTCTGGAATCTGTTCTTTCCCCTGAAAGGGAAAAGAACAATTCTTGTACTCTGCTCAATTCTTTCCCTCATAAAGTTTGCCTTCTCTGTGACTTAGTGTTTTACCTCATATCTATCACCCAGGACAGAATAAATCTATTAATCATAAGATTTTGACAAGCACCTATTTTGTATCCAGCACTGTACTAGGCATAATATTATCACACAAGGAGTAGACACCACACACCCTTTCCTTACTCACCTTCACCACAGCCTGGCTGGGGTGGCAAAATAATTCTCTGGACTCCTTTATCTTAGACTAATTTCTTTCCAGGAAATGACAGGTATGCATGTTTGTGTTTGATGAGCAGTAACACGGGGAGTGAGGAGCCTTATGGGTTCCCATCTCTCCCTTCTCATGGCAGCAACAGCCAGGCTTGTAGCAGTGCTCTTCGGAAACCAGCCATCTCTATTGCTGATAGCACAGAACTCCGGTGAGTGGAGCTAGCCACAGAATGGGGCAGTTGGCAAGCAAAGGGGTACCCTTTACCAATATCCCAGACCCACCCAGACCACTAGAAGTTGCTAATTTCCCTGCGTTGGGCTCCCATAGATTTCGTAAGGTCTCTGACTACAGACTGGGAACTGCCCTGGGAATCTCTTAGGATCCTTCTGTAATTCCAGGGTGCTGCTGAGTGTCATGTACCTCATGGTGGAAAATATCCGCCTGGAGCGAGAGACAGACTCCTGCGGGTGGAGAACAGCTCGGGAGACCTTCCGCACTGAATTAAGTAAGAAGTGACACTTAAGGAGAGGTGAAAATGGAGTGCTGATGGTGAGGGGAAGCATAGCATCTGCCTAGGAGAAGCAGACATGCCCCCAGCACTGCCCCCCACACTTTTTTGTTATAATTCACATCCTTTCTTTTAGGACAGACATACCAGGTGGCAGACATGAGGACCTGGCCTAATTACTCCCTGTGTCTGTGAACTAGCACCATTAGTATTTCATTCATGTGTCTCTTCTATGCATGGGTTGCCTTGGTTGTAAAAGAGGATAACCGACCCTTTCCCATCCCATCAGGAATTCTACTGGAAAAAATGAGTTGAATCACCTTGAAAATCAAACACTGTTTAATGTACATTGGTATTACCATTGCACAGTGATTTTAAAAATCTAGTCATTGTTGTGCATGGATGAGGTATGATATACAAAAAGCATTCAGTCCTGCAGCCAAAAAGCTAATTTTAATTACTGTTACTATTAATTTGACATCTGTTCCCATGCTTTGAGAGCTCTGTTTTACCTCCATGGCCTCCCTTCCTTCTCTTGAGGGGCTGCTCTCTGGGGGCGTCTCTAGGCCGCTTTCTCTAGGACCAGATATTAGAATTCTACTCAAAAGGGAGGTAAATTTCTTCCTCAGTGTGTTCAGAATCAGGATTACAGGGTTAGAATTTCAGTGGCCTCATCATCACTTCCTCACTTGCCTCTCCATATCCAGGCTTCTCCATGCATAATGAGGAACCTTTTGCCCTTCTGCTCTTCTCCATGGTTACCAAGTTCTGCAGTGGCCTAGCCCCGCATTTCCCTATAAAGAAGGTCCTGCTTCTGCTCTGGAAGGTGGTCATGGTGAGTGGCTGATTCTCCCCACTCCTATCTCATATCAGCAGTGCCCTCTACCACTGCAATTTCTTCTAGTCTGATTCCATGAGAAGGGAAATAGGCAGACGGTGTGTGTTAACCAATGAAGAGGCAACAAGGCTGTCCTAGAGAAATCAGATGTTCTCTGTCAGAGCACGTTTCTGTGTTGGATTGCCTGCTTCTGATGAGAAATTCCGCTCATCAGTCAGGTTATTATTGAGCCTACCCCTTGACAGAGCTGATGTTTTGCAGAAAAGATGGTCACTGAAAATCGGAAGATCTGACCTCTGATGACACTGAGGAATTTGGGCAGCTCTCTTTGTCTCAGTCTCTCTAACTAGTGTAAAATATGGGAATTAGTGCCTACACTCCACTAAATAATTTGCTTTGAAAAGATGAAGTCCTAAAAGAGGGGGGAGGGGAGAAAAAAAAAAAGAAGTCCTCAAAGGTGTATGGTCACAGCTTTGTTACTGATTATTCAACCTGATCTTTTATCTCTGACGCCCACCCCACTTCTCTGAACAGATGCCCTCTAGAGCAGGTCTCCTAACTATGGGGAAAAATTGAGTGTCTGGGGGTTTATGTATCTGATGTGCCTCTTAACAGAGGAACATAATAGTTTCCTGTTTTTTCAGTGAAGGTTCCCGGGAGTGTCTTTCCTAATTCCTGGTGATGTTTCCAACTCTGGGTCAGCAAATAATGCTTTATCTTGGCCCCTGTGCTCCATTTGGGGATAATACCACATTTCCCCCTTCCTGTCTTATTACTTCCTAATTAAGAAGTGGGTCCAAAGAGACAGGGGGTTTTGGGTCTTCCTTTCTCCATCTATGTTTCCCTGACCCTGCTCTCTCTGACTTCCCTCCCTTCCTTTCTTTTCTGCCCCTTTTCTCTCCCCCCCTTAGTTTACCCTCGGTGGATTTGAACATCTGCAGGCTCTCAAAGTGAAGAAGCGGGCAGAATTGGGCTTGCCTCCTCTGGCTGAGGACAGTATCCAGGTGGTGAAGAGCATGCGTGCTGCCTCCCCACCCTCTTACACTCTTGACCTGGGGGAGTCTCAGCTGGCACCACCACCCTCCAAGCTACGAGGCCGCCGTGGTTCTCGAAGGGTATGGATTAAATCATAGTGGTGTTTTGGCATGACTGACAAAAAAAACCACGGTTCTAATCTCCTCAGGATGTGTTAGAAAGGGCACTAAATGACCCAGCTCTCTGACCAACCTAAAACTTGGAGTCTGTACTTAGACTTCTGTACCCCAACCCTGACAGGCTCGTGGGCTGTCATGGTAGCACAGTGTGATCTCATATCATGGATCCATGTCTGGCTACAAGATCATAGATGTTCAGTGACTGGAGTTCCTTAGCATCCTGAACAATAGTTAAGGTATAATTACGGGGATAGGGGCCTAGAGCACCTGAAGAGGACTCCCAGAAAATCTGTGTACCTTTTTTATGATCTTCTTGGCAGCAACAGTTTACGCTTAGCCACCCATGCTCTTGTATGGTCCTAGCATCAGAGACTTGCATTTACAAGGCATCTGGGTAAGCTAGGTATAGCCTGCATCCCTGCAAAAGCCAGAATGATGAGTCACTGAGACCTGACCATGGCCTCATGAACTTACATGCCTGATCTACCTGAGTTCAGTTAAGGTGACAGGGCCAGATAGTCAACTCTCTAATGTACATGACCTGCAGTGTGACTTTTATACAATGCAGTCCACATTATCTGCAATGTGATTTTTTTAAACTTTTTATAAAGTGGTGCTTACTCATTGTAGACAATTTGGAACAAATATAAAACTGTGAAGAACGGAGAAAAAAAAAATCACCCACCAGTTTAACAACCAGAGGCAGTCACTGTTAACTTTTTGGCCTATTTCTGTCCAATGTTTTTTTTTTCTTTCTGTGACAAGATTTAAATTCCTAGCTTATTTCCCTCTGCTTAGCAGCAAGCCTCTGCCCTCCTCTTCCTCACTCAGCCAGCTGGCATATGCTCACAGAAGGCAAACTAATTGAATGTTCACCTAAGCAGAGCATAATTAGGAAGAAAAGTGCTAGCAAAAAAAAAAAAGGCATCAGTGCTTTTTGAAAACTAAGTAACTATGACTTTGAGATTAGCTGTGCTCTGTTCCCCAGCCACTGGCCTGTTGCCTGAGAGCTGCTCGTCCTGGCATCGAGCCTGGTGGGTCTTTAAGGCTGAGGTGGGGAAGGCAGTATTCTCACAAGAGCTGGGTTTTTAATCCGTGTTCCCTGAAGTCCTGAGGATAGGGGGTGGCCTCAGTTAAGGATGTTGAAGGTGAGATGCTGCGCACTCTCCTCTTCTTCTCTACCCTCCCCTCCAGCAACTCCTCACTAAGCAAGACAGTCTGGACATCTACAATGAAAGAGATCTCTTTAAGACTGAGGAACCCACCACAGAGGAGGAAGAGGAGTCTGCTGGCGATGGAGAAAGAACTTTGGATGGAGAGTTGGACCTGCTAGAGCAGGACCCTCTGGTGCCACCTCCACCATCTCAGGCGCCCCTCTGTGCTGAGCGGGTGGCCTTTCCCAAAGGCCTACCCTGGGCGCCAAAGGTCAGGTAGGTTTGATAGCCCCAGGGATCTTAAGTTTTGGGGTTCCAGTCACTGACCGTTCAGGGTGCATTGTTCCGTGTACTCAAAGCTCAATAAGCTGGGCTGCGAGCCTGAACTACTTAGTCAAGTGCCCTCTGTTGGTTGCTGTCTTGCCCCATTGTTCCAGCCCTCACTGCTCCATTGGAAGGGTAAGAACCCAGAAAGCTTTGCTCTCTCAAGGTTTGCTTTTCTTCCCTTCTCTGGGATTCATCTCTCCACTATCCTCTCAGACAGAAGGACATTGAACATTTCTTGGAGATAAGCAGGAACAAGTTCATCGGATTCACTCTGGGCCAGTAAGTGATTGGTGGTCAGAATGGCTATGGCGTGTTTCTTAGGGGAGCAGAGGAACAGGTGGCTCTGGGGGACAGGCACTGCCTGGTGGTCACCATGCACCTTAGAGCCACTGGGCTATAGGCAACTCCCAGTGACTACTTTGGATTCTTTCCATGAATTTTTCCTCCCCGTTTCCTAAAAGAGCTATGTTTTAGCTGAAGAACTCTAATGTTTTGATCAACAAATCATGTTCCTCTTAGATTTTAGTTCTCTCTTAAGTGTGCTGGATAAGATGGTCCTAGGGGCCCTTCCTGCTCAACTGCCAAATTCTGAGAAGAAAACATGTCAGATCCAGTTCCCCCATCTTCCTTCCCACTGACCACTGCAAAACCTCCCTAAAAAGCATTACTGGTGTTTCACTGTCAAAAGTAAAAAAGGCTAATGCCCTTTTGTGGGGGTGACCATTTTTGTCACCCCCAGACAAAATGAGTTCCCAAAAGACTACACAATTCCAAAATTTCAGGAACATTTCTGTGTGCCATTATTGTGTGTGTGTGTGTGTGTGTGTGCGCGCGCACGCCCTGAGGCAATGATGGGGAACCTGGAAACTTTCAAAGAAAGATCAGATGCTGAAAATGAGATGGCCTATGTGGCCCTAGGGAGTGCTAATAGTGCTCTCTTCTTGTGAACTTAAGGTCTGGTATTTCTCCCATGCCACAGGGACACAGATACCTTGGTTGGATTACCCAGGCCTATCCATGAGAGTGTGAAGACCCTAAAGCAGGTAACCAGGGTGGGCTCTAGGTCTTTAGGGATAGAGAACTATTAGGGCCAGTTGGATTATCCGGGGCCTAGGTCTTGGTGGTGTTAGGGGGACAGGATGTCCTGAACAAACTTTACAGATTCAGGTTTTGTGGACTCCACCCCAACTCCAGACACTGAAACTACAAATTCCAGCAACACCAAAGGGAAGACTGCTAGGACCTGAGGGCAGAATAATCAGACATTTTGGAGTTTTGGATATAAAAGCAGACATGTTGGGCAGAGCACATGGAGCAGAGAGGCATGTGAAGAAACTGTACTTGCTTCTTCTTGGTCCTGGACTAGTTGAAACAGATGTGGGCAAGAGACCCATGGGGAGGTTTGACTATAGCAGTGGTTATCTTGATTTTGATTTTGCTCTTTTCCTCCCAAACTTGTCTGGCCATTTCTGACCCTTTTCTATGGGTCCCCTCCAGAAGGTGCTTTAGACTTGTGGCAGCTTTCAGACCTTGCCTGGGTCAGTCCCACTTGGGTGGACTTTTACCCATGAGGGGATGGGTAACTTTGGGTGTTTGATTTAGAAACTATATTCTTTATGTTTGCTCTATTGCACATTGATTGTATTAAAGTTCTTTCCATTAAAGTTCTTAGATGTTTTGTCTTGATGGGGCAGATGGCACAACCTGTTTAGAGCAGGCAAGTTTGGGGGCTCAGGGGTATCTCTCTTCCTGCCCTGTAACAGTGGGACTTTTTTCACCAGACACATTGTAAACCTACCATTCTACATTTCTGCTGCAAGTGATTTGGCCAAAGAAAAGAAGTACGTCTCTATCTCTATTTACCTAATTTCCTACATTCAGATAGATGAGAAGTTCTTTCTTCGCATTCTGCCCCCCAACCCCTACCACACCACAACTTCCCACTCCTTGCTTCCTTTTTTCACATCTTTTTTGGTAAGGCCATTTGCTTGTAAAAGCTCAGTGTTCAGTAGCAGTCTGCTCTACAGCTAACATATTGGGCCGACCTTGACCCCTTCCCCACCTTATGAACCTCACTCTACACACATGCAATTGCAGCAAAATCCTTAGGGCAGTAGCCCAAGAATTCTCAGGTACAAGGACCTGTATTTAGTTTCTCCTTATACTTTGGTTAAAGGTAAATGTTTAGTTATTTGCTGCTCCTGGACAAATATGGAAACATGGAATAAACATAAACAATGTTTCTAAGCATTTCACTTGATGTTAAGGATGCAAAAGTAAGTAAGACTACCGCTTTTTTTTAGAGTCTTTAGTTTATTCAGGGTGAGAGACTCATAAACAGACATATCCTTATAGGAGAAGTTAAGCAAGTGGTAGGTACATATGTCATTGAAGCCCTCAGCCCCTTGTTGATGTCTTGTCTTCCCTAGCATAAGTACATCTCCATCGCAGATGTTCAGATCAAGAATGAGGAGGAACTGGAGAAGTGCCCGATGTCTTTGGTAAGTCAAGGGGCTCCTCCACAGGAGGAAGGCGAGGAAATCTGTCTGCAGTGCTGTCACAGAGCTTGTGTCATGCTGTTGGGTTCTCACTGTGTGCCAGGCAAGACAAAACTCTCTAGTTTCATGAAACTTTAAAATTGGGAGCTCTACAACTCAATAAGGAAGTGGAAGACTATCAGAGGATGGGAGATATAATGAAGAACAGGATGACATGGTAGAGGTATTTGTCACGTGGTAGACTCCCTTAGATTGGGCACACAAGATAGGTAGACTTCTGGAAAGGTAACAAGCCAACAGGGAGCTCACTGTAAGAACATCACAGGAAAGATTCCAAGCAGAGGAAATAGCCTCAACAAGGTGAGAGCAAGCTCAGGGTGTTAAGAGGTAGCAAACACAGGCAGACCAGTGTGGCAAGGTGTACAAAGTGGAGTCAGAAGTGATCTGGGGCCCTACGCAGAACCTGTAAGCAAGATAGGGAACTTGAAGTTGATTCATGGTGCAAAAGGAAGTCTTTTGAAATTTTAAATAGGGAATGACATGATTTACCTTTTAAAAAGCCATTGGTTACTTGTAAAGACTGGACCAAGGGAGAGTGAAAATAGGAAGATCGGTTAGGAAAATCTATTAATAATCAAAGGGAGAGATGATGGCAGTGGGTAGTAACTATAAAGGTAGTGAAAAGCGGTTATATTAAGATTCTGTTTTGGATGCACAACTGACGAGATTTGCAGTTCATCTGGATGTGGATAAAGAGCAATAAAAAATAAATGCCATTTACCAAGATAGGGAGTTCTGTTTTATCAGAAAATCTGTTTTGGTAATATTTTTTATTTTCTTTTTTTAAACAATTGTTTTAAAATGATATTTATTTATTTTTAGCATAGAAGAACTGGGGTGCAGACTAGAGTTATGGGGGCTGAAAGGATTCACCAGAGACAAAGTGGGGAACAGAACAGGTGGATTGTTTGAAATACTCTGCTAATGGCAGCAGTGGGCAAGACAGGAGAGGTCTGCTGTGCCATATGTGGGTCAGCTCCCTCGCTAGGGATCAAACTCAGGCCACAGTGCTGAGACTTAACCCCTTGACCACCAGAGAGGCCCATTATCATATAGAGTTTTAGATATCCATTAAACACACATGCCATCAAATAATTATATACATGGATCTAGAATTAGAGAGGAATGGCCTTGAGAAGTGAATTTGGGGACTGTTGGCTTATAGATAATTTCAAAAGGTATAGAACTGGCTAAGATAGTGAATTAGTTGTAATACAGGACAAAGCCTTGGGACACACCAATATTCCGAGGTGGGATGAGTCATGAAAGGAGAAAAAAATTGAAGTGGGAGGAAACTGACATAATTCCATAAAAGTTAAAAAAGAATCTTTCATGAAGAAAGGTGGAATCAGTTGTGTCAAATGCTGCAGATTAAGTGGAGAGAGAGAAGCTCTGGTAGATTTGCTGTTGAGAAGATGAGGGTGTGCCTGTCTGATTGCTTCTGATTTCTCCATGAAGTGTAAGGCAGGGCCAGCAGCAGCTCTGAGGGGCTGAGGGACAAGGCATAGGTGAGAGAAGAGAGCAGTATGCAGCGGGTCTTTTTGAATGTGGGAAGGCAAGCGTGCAGAGACTGCCAGGCTTTACAGGATGTCCATTTAAAAACTAACGTTCATTTAAGCAGCAGCTGAGTTGTGTGGGATGGAAGGGGCCTGGTTACTTCTTCCTACTGCAGGAAGCACCCTTGGCCTGTAGTAGAAAGACTCTGGGGGAAGAGTGACTATCTAGGCCAAAGATGACGGGGCCTGAGTAGGCTTTTGAGCCCGAGGCCTCTTCCTCCACACTCTGATAAAAGGCTTACGTGGGGTCATCAAAGGGACAACAGTTGTGCATGAGGTGGCCTGGCAGAGAGGAGGAAGGAATACAGAAGGGACTAATGGAAAAGGAAATAAAATAGTTTCCAGCTAAAAGCTTCCAATGCATTCTGCTTCCTGCCTCTTTGGGCCAGCTCCCATGTTATTACTCTTATTGAGTCATTTGCCTGTCTTTCCTGGCTTCAGAGCATTCTAGAGCGCCTAAGAGTGACATTATGGAAATACATCTGTACCGTGTTTGTTCCAGTGTCTCAGACATACCTACAGCCTGGGTTAAGCCCATGTGTGTCCAGCAAAGCAGTGGTCTGAGCCAACTCCTTGGTGGGAATTTTGACTCCTGTTCTAGCATGTGACATGGAATGAAGAATTGTGAATTGATTCCAGATAATAGGAAATCAGAATCATAGATTGTCAGGACTAGAAGAGCCTCAGAGGCAATCAGGCAGCTCACTGATTGATGAAGTGAGAACCCAGAAAGGGAAATAACTTAGCCAAGGTCAAAGAATGAATCATTTATACAACTGGGATAGGAACCTAGGTCTGATTCATAGCTCTGCTCTTTTTATGTCACCTGTCATAACCAAGGAAAGGTAGCTTTGTTCAAGTGGAAAATGATCTTGTCAAACCTTGTGTTTCCTGCTGTAGGGGGAAGAAGTCGTGCCAGAGACACCATGTGAAATCCTCTACCAGGGCATGCTCTATAGCCTCCCTCAGTACATGGTAAGGAGAGGTCGAGGGCTGCCCCCTCTGCTATAAGAAAGAGCCTGGTGAAAGCCATTTCAGTTAAGCTATCCGTTATTTTTGTTTCCTGCATCATTGCCTCTCAGGAAGGGTACTCTCTGACACAGATTTCTGGCCTTCCTATGAGGGCTTCCCTCAAAGGGGCTGTTCTCCCAAGTTCTTTGGGAGGCATGGGAATATGGTAGGGTTGCTGCAGGATGCATTGGGCCCTCCCCTAATTGCAGGAGATCTAGCATGTCCTAGATGACCTCAGGCTGAGAGTGGTGAGGCTGCTGATGGTTGGGACTTTAGAAGAAGAGGGATGGGGGGTTGAGGTCTTGCTGACCTACTTCCCACCTTATTTCTAGACATTGCTTCACTCACTCTGTGCCATCCGTCTTCCTCTTTGGGGAACTGAAAAGAGCTATTTTAAAGTAGAACAGGCCATGCACTCCCTTCTGGGTCCTCCCTTTGCCTCAGAGGCAAGCCTCTTAGAACTGGGCACCTGTTTGTCACTCTGGGGGCTGGGGACATTTGATCACTAAGGGAGAACTTAGAGGAAGGCTTTAAGACACTTCTGTTAGGGCTGTGGAAGTGTGGGAAAATGGTCTTGCTGAGTGGATGGATCGGGTGGATAGGGATGGATTTCTTCATTTTTTACTTCTAGATTGCTCTTCTTAAAATTTTGCTGGCTGCAGCCCCCACCTCCAAAGCTAAGACAGACTCTATCAACATCCTGGCAGATGTCCTGCCTGAGGAGATGCCGTGAGTGCTTCAATCAGGGCAGCTACCGAGTATTAGCTGTCTTGTCTGCAGAGTCTTTCTAGTTCCCACACGACCTTGGTAACTCAGAGATTGTCTCTAAAAAGCTCTCCCCTCCCCCACCAGCAGCCCCTTTCCACAACAGGTACTCTCTGTTGTGCTCTTCTCAGCCCAGAACTGAGGGCCTGCAGGGTGATATCCATGCCAATGACTGGCTGCCCAGGTAAGTGGTTGAACATTGCCATGGGATGAACTTGCCAAAAGAGGGAGAGAGCAAAGAGGACTTTCCTTTAAACAGGCTCAAAAGTGAGAGCACTGGAGGCTTCCTTAGCACAGAGGTCCTGTAGACCTCCCTCTAAAGTCACCCTCTGCACTGACTCTTCCTCTCTCCGTTGCAGCATCACTGTTCTCCAGAGCATGAAACTGGGCATTGATGTGAACAGACACAAGGAGATCATTGTGAAGAGTATCTCTGCCTTGCTCTTGCTACTCCTCAAACACTTCAAACTGAACCATGTGTACCAGGTGGGAAGCCAAGAGCACTTCTCCATGGGTCTTGGGTGTTCTCCAGATCCCATCCACCAAAGGAGGCATGCAAGGATCCTCCTTGTAGTCCATCTGAGCATTTTGGAACCTTTTCTTTGTCTCAGGGGGTCCAGATAACTGTTGCACAAGCTTGAGGTAGAGATAGAGATTGGGACATGAAAACTGGCCTAGAGAGGAACAGATGGCTGTGTCCTTTGAACATTATCCCCAGCTTGTACACTGGAATCTTTAACCTCTTGTGAACATGCTTAGCCAGTTTTTAAACAGTGGGAAACAGAACTCTAGGAATTCCACCAAGAGGGAGGTGTATAATTTTCTGTATATGAAGCACTTTTCTAATATCAAGATCCAAGTCTGAAGAAAGCACAGTTCTGGCTTTTAAGGGCTTTGAAGTCTTATAAAGAATACAGTTATATAAATAGTCAGTTAGGGTGATAAGTGCTATGATCCAGCTAAACACTGGCTGCTATGGAAACCCCTAATCTGAACTGAGTTAGAGAAGAGGTGACTTCTAACCTGAATCCTAGAGAAACAGATGTTAGCCAGGATATGGGAGTTGTCAGAAAAGGAAGCATATCAAGCAGAATAGCTAATTTGTGAAAGTGCAGAGGGGAGAGAGCATTCCCTTTGGAAACTGATTAACTGTTTCCTGGAGTTCTGCCAAGGAAATGGGGGAAGCCTGGCGATACTTGAAGCAGAGAGCAGATCATAATGCATGTGATAGCACCTCTGTGCCAGGGACTCTCAACCTTGTGTGGGATCTCATTTTATTTTCAACCCTATTAAAACAGTAGTACCCCTGTTTTATAGATGAGGAAACTGAGGCTAATTAACTTGCTTCTCCATGAAGGCGTTGTTTGGCAAACTTAACAGTTTGGATTTGGTCTGGTAGCATCGCCAAGATATGGAGTGAATGGATATTCTCTGTGGTGAACCCAAAGGGAAATTTCTCATCCCCTCACAGACACTGCCCCTTCTCAACTTTTAGTATGTTCAAAGACATCTTTGAGAATATTGTGGTATTTGTGGGGTTGACATGTCTGCTGAGCAGTTGCAGGTCGGGGAGTGGAAAGGGTGGGTAGGAAATAGCGTTCCCATTAGAAAGAACTGGGGACTGTGAGTGTGTTACTGCCTGCTCTGGTGGGCAGTATGTGGATCAACAGCCAGGCAGGTGGATGGCATTATGGGCCTTGCCGGTGTGTATCAGTTTCAGTAAGTCCTGACAAGGCCACAGATACACCTCAAACTGAAAAAAGTTTTCCATCACTTCACTTGATAGTGGGTCTCCATTGGCTTCTCCATCTAGAGATGTGGGAAATACCCTGGGTCAGCTGCCAATGACAATATTTTGAGCAGCATAGGCTGACTACCAGCCTCCAATTACACACCATGGCTATTTCTGGGTGATCAGGAAGAGCTATAGGAGATGAAACCCAATCCTTGGCTTTTTCAACCCAATTTCTCCACTGTCCCTGCAGTGTAGGTTCCAGATGTGGAGTTAGACTGTATCTGATACTCCTCACTGAATTGTGGGCAACTTCCAGGTGACACAACTCCATGACATTGCCCCCCACTAGGTCTTCCTGGATACACACCCCATCCAGATTCAAAACAGCAAAACGGAGCTCCTATATTCTGGTGTTTCATCCACCAAAGAGATCTTGGATTGAAGGGCTTTTGGTGATTCTGTCACTAAGATACTGATATTCTAAGTTCTGGGGATAACGCAGTGACCAGCCTCTGCTGGAGCACACCGTCCAGTGTTTCAGCTGGTTCCTGTGTGTGCTGTGCATCCTGCTGCCGCTGCCTGGAGTAAGATGCACCTGTCTCTGTTATATCAATCACAGTCAAAACATGTGACCCAGAGGTTTGGTATGGAAAACAATCCCCTCAGGGAATCTTCCTTTCCTGTTAAGTTTAGGGATAAATTTCATAGCAATTTATCTGCAATGGGATTTTCTTTCTGACTTGTTTATGTTACATAGTTTTGGTTCCTTTCCACGCAGACTGGGCTGGCTGAAGATGATTCTCTCCATTTTCCAAACAGGAAAACTGATAACAAGTAGATATTCTTAGGAATGGATATTAGATTTGTACTTGACTCTCTTTTTTTCATATGAGCCTTCTGTTCTCCCCTGAATAAACAGCCCTTTCTGTTTCAATCTTTTAATTTAGTTTGAATATGTATCACAGCATTTGGTATTCGCCAACTGCATTCCATTGATCTTGAAGTTCTTCAATCAAAATATCTTGTCTTATATCACTGCCAAAAACAGGTACGGAGTTAATATTTTAATAACCCTTCATTTTAAAAGGTTATTTTGGGAAGATTGAGAAAAATTACATTGCCCCTGAACCTCTCTGTTTTCCTGGTGTCCCCAAGCCCTTCAGTTTTAGAGCTGTCATAGTTAAATTTGGTTTTCTTGAAGTGTTAGCTGATGGTGGGGGGTGGGGGAGGGAGGGTATATGGCTTGACTTCTCCACAGAGATATTCATATCTTAATAGTTTAAAAAAATGACATGATTCAAAGAATGGAACTGCAATGATGACATCTCAACCCAGTGGCAGAAGGATCCAGAAGATGTGTGTTGTGGAATAGCCTGTTTTATCTGACCAAACCTGATCATATAAATCATAAGTTGGATCAATTAGTTTTTACTACTTTAAACTATAAGGTGTAAAAAAATGGCAGCAAAAGGTAAATAACACTCTTACTGTAGATTAGATCAATTTGTAATTAGAAAATATATATTTTCACCATTATGTTTACTCTCCATAGCAGTGCTAAGATATATTACAAGAATTTTTTAAACTCACATTATTATTTAATCACTCATTATGAAATTTTATTCTCATTTTACCAGTCCAGAAATAAATTCAGAAAAAATAGCTGATGTGCTCAGATTAACTTGCTAGTGAGACCCCTTAAGTAAATAGCAGGGGCAAGATTAGAACACAGGCTTCTCTGTGAACATAAATTGCTTTCCACTCCTTCAGCCAAGCACAGTCAGGATTGGGGGGGGAGTGGAAGGGTGTTGCAGAGTATATCCTGTTCCCCAGTTGGTTATGTCCATGGGAACCAAAAGCAAGTTAATCAGTAGAATTACCAAAACTGCTTTACCTGAGGCAAAATTCGTGAAGTCGAAGAGGGCTGCTGTGATACCTGGGGCCCTGGAGTGCACCTCGGGAGTTTGGCCTCCATGGGCTGTCAGTACCGCCTGGAAGTCTGCCTGACAGAGGCATTTTACTCATGTAGTTTAAAACCCACACATCTCTGGTGAAACCTAAGGTCATGAGCCCTGGATTCCTGACCTGTGTCTGCCATTTGCTAGCTGTGTGTGTAGCTTTAAGAAACACACTTCATTTCGTTGAGCAACAGTATTTTCATCTTTAAAATGGGAATAATTTCTCCTCCGACTATCATAGACCTTTTATAAGCATTGATCCTATTTGAAAGAATTGGAGAAGGGATTTTTTTCCCCAACTAAATGGAGACCTATGTACTGAGGTCAAAACCACTAAAAAAATAGTGGGGTTACCAGGGAAAATGGAAATATAGATTGAGCTGGCTAAGAGCCACAGCCACGTGAGACATCTGTGTGCATCACTCAGCCTCTTGGTGATAAGAACTGAAACAAGCTGCACCTGGCTCACGCAAAATGGAGAGTTTGTTAGACAGAAACAAGGCATGTCATCTTGAGAAGCCTAGGTGAGGGATGCAGCTCTTGTCCCTGGTCTATGGTATAGGGACCCAGAAGCCCTCTACTCCATCTCCAAACCTCTCTCCCAGTTTCTTCTCTCACAAATATCTTTGTCTGCTTCTTAGACCACTTGGTGATTTATGACCACATGAGCTAAATATGTCCCAGGCACTTCAGACCGAATTGACCCCACCCTGATTCACACCCCAGGTTATATATTCTCTGGATCAACCGTGACCTGTGTTGGGGGATGCACACAGTGATACCTTTCCTATACCTGCAGGCTTGGAAGGAGAGTGACCCACAGTCACTAAGTGTCCCGCAGACGTGGAAGAGTGGTCATGCCAGAATAGGCCTTTTGCTAAGGTTGACCAGGACTTCTTTTGGTCTTACAGCTTACCTGTGGGCTTTATGGTCCCTCTGTCCCCCACCAGAGCACAGCACCTTATTGCACAGTTTCCCATTGGCACTTACAATCTGGATAGTCTGGATTCTTACTTTATTTACATCCTTTTCGGCTAGAATTCAATTCACTGAAATGGGAAGGAATCCATCTTTGATTTCCCCATTTTTTGACACCGTGGGGCTGTGTCAGTGAAAGGTGGGTAGATTAGTGAATAAACCAGCCAAGAATGACTAGCATAATGGGGTAGTATAGAGCTGGTTATCCTGGGACACTCCAGAAGAGTGAATCCAGAGGACGTTACAAATTCATGCATTTCCTCTCCTCTCCTACCAAGGTTATCTTTGTATTGTGTTTCTTGTTTGTTGTTAGTTTGTTTGTATAAAGGGAAACATTTATGGCCCAATAAGTTGCTGTGTTTTGCTTGGAAGTTTTTATACTTTTGAAATGTAGCCACAGGTCCAAGCAACGCCCTTACTATTTATAGCACTCCCTTGCCGACATCCTTTATCCATTTTCAGCTGTGCTAGTTCAGCTTATGGAATTTGAGAACCATAGGAACATTAGAGATTAGCTAGTACAAATTCTGCCTTGTGCCAATGAAGAAGAAAAGAGAGGAAGGAGTTGGCATTTGTTGTGTGTCCCTGTCATAGTGGGGGGGCTTTATTTCCCCTACTGACTCATGTAATCCCTGGGCTCATTACAGAGCCTCTAGTCCCGGGTAGTCTCCCACTGCTGGATTTGGGGACAGATGTTATTACCATTCTCAAACTACTAAATTGGCGTGCTACAGGAAACTGCCTTTGTCTCAAGCTTCCTTTAGGAGTAGCTTCTCTGAGCATTCCCCAGAGCTTCTGGTGTTTAGGAACATCTGGTGAGAGACACAGGAGAGGGCTTCATTTCATTCTCATAGCCACAGATTGTTATTAAGTGGGATAAGCTCAGGCACCATCTCTGAGTGCACAATTATATTCATACACATAGGCATACGCATAACTGCAGAGAAACAAATGCACACAAGTTTACATATTCCTTTTAATAAGGGAGGAGAACTAAGGAGAAAGGTGACTAGACAGAAGCTCTTTTTCTGCTCTTTTGTATCTGCCAGATACAAAACCTGGAAGAATTCTCTGTTGGTTCCTCTCATGATTGTGAGGAGACTAGAGCTGGAGTTGCCTGATGCCAAAACTTCTGTTTCAGCTGAGGTCACTTAAAAATTTGGGAAATAGAAGTGGCTTGCTGCAGAGAAATAACTCCTGCCCTTTCAGATACAGCCATTCCCTGCCATTGCCATTTACCTAAAACTCTCCCTGATCTCTGTATCTTACAGCATCTCGGTCCTGGATTATCCTGGCTGCACCATCCAGGATTTGCCAGAGCTTACTACAGAGAGTCTGGTAAGCAGATGGGGATTTGGTAGCCTTTGAAATTGCCAGGTGACAGAGGCTGGCATTTGTTCTTCCACTTCTTCTCCAACCCCACAATGCACTGCTGGGAGTCTCAGTTCAATAAAGGTGTGTAAGCAAGAGCACAGAGGCAGTAAGGCTTTAGAGCTGCTGACCCAGTTGAGAAAGATTTGAAAAAGCTGAGGGTAGCATTTTACAAGGAAGAAAAAGGGTCAGCGAAAAACACTGAGGAGTTTAGAAAGATAATGAGAATGAAATTGAGTCTAACAGCTGTGCTAAATGGTAGGAGAATCTTTTCTGGTCTAACCAAACAATTATAGGTCCTCTGTGTTCCGCTACAGGCAGTTCACTTCTCTCCACCATATAGTTATAATATCCAGGAGTATGTACTTCAGAAAATGCCTGGCCTATGTCTCTCTAAGGCAAAAGTTAGTATCCCTAGAGAAGGATGATCTCGAAATTTCCTTATCCTGAAAAGCTCTAGATTAAAAGCAGAAATAATCCCTCAGGGTTATTCTGAATTCTATGAAAGTGACTGCTCAACAAACAGCATATTGAGTATCAGGTACCAACTTCATTGTGTCTTCCTCAGTCCCTACCCTCACCCTGTCGTATTGTAATTGTTTCTTTCTCCATTTGCCTATAAATTCCCTGGACGAGCTGGTGTCGTCTTCATTTTTATATTCCTGGAGTCTAGCACCATGCTTGGTACATGGCAAGGACTGAATGACTGGTCATGGCATCCATGTGTGCCATGGCCCTTTGACCACCGACTTTACTGAGAAATAGCTCCTAAGAAAAGCGTATTATGCAAAAGTAGAATGGTGACTTTTGTGGTACAGGTTTTATAAGACCATACAATTTTTAATTGAGGGGACCTGGAAGACATTTGATACAACTCCCTATTTTAAAAATGAGAAACCTGGGCCTCCCTGGTGACCTAGGTGTTAAGTCTTAGCGCTATCACAGATGGAGTTCAATCCCTGGCCAGGGAGCTGACCCACATGGCACAGCAGACCTCTCCTGTCTCACCTGCTGTGCCCCTCAGCAGTGTATTTCAGTAAATCTACCTGCTCTACTCCCTACTCTGTCCGTGGTGAATCTTCTCACCTCCCCACAAGCCCCATACCTGTGGCCTACACCCCAGTTCTGTTATGAGAAACCTGAGAGCTCACTATTGCAGAAACTTGTCCCAATCTATTCATATGTGGCAAATTCTGAATTAGAGAAAGACCGATGCCCTGAGCCATCAAGTCTAGCACCCTTTTTAGCACTGGCACAGATTCCATATCTTATTTAGTTGTGGTCTCAGAAACCTAGGAAACTGGGAGTTTCTTACCACTGCAAAGAGGTATTAAGTGTCTAATCTTGTTTATATATGTGATGTTATTCAATCTTTAAAACAATCATGAGATTAGAGAAGTTAAATTTCCAGAACCTTACAGAGCCAAAATAACAGAGCCAGGATAGAGAAATACATCCCTGCCATCAGAGTTGGAATAAATTACCACAGAAACAGCAGTACACAGAGAGCATTCAATTCTACCATGAGTTAGGTATTCAAAACGAAGTCAGCTTGTGTGAATATCTGAATCTATATGATACAATTGTTCTCTCTTCTCAATCCTATATGTAGGAATTACTGGAAACTATACTTTCTTGTCTATTCCATTTGACCTTTTGGGATATAAGCATAAAATTGTTGAAATGATTGTTATGCCTCTTAGAAGACTTCATTATTATCCAAAATAATAATGAAGCATATGTCCTTAATTTAAAAATTCACACTAGGGCTTTCTTTTCTTTCTCTGAAGCAACAGTGGCACCTGGTGGTTGCACTTGGTAACTTCTTTCATTCTTTCTTTTTCTTTTTTTTTTTTTTGCTTGACCCTACAATACACAAACTTTGTTAGGCCCAAACATGGGCTTAAGTAACGAAGTTTACTCCACTTACACGTAGGTCCTCTATATAGTCATTTGTTTATACAAACTGAGGGTTTCTATTTTGGGAAAAAACTAAGGTTTATGAGCACTATTTATCTCTTTTTAAAGCTCGATGACTAATTGTAAACACAGAAATGTACTAGTTACTTAAGTGCATAGGATTTTCTTTAAACATCACAAGTTTTTCCTGATTATAAAATTACTGTATACTTACTGCATAAAGTTGGAAATACTTGTAAGAAAAAAAATACACAATTATACTATCTACATACCACTCATAATTTTGCTGTATTTACTGTATTTATGTTTGTTCTTATAGAGAGAGATACATATTTGTTATCTGAGAAAATAAACACTTTATATAGTTTCCAATTCATAATAAAATTTAAATGTTTAGCATATGCCTTTCTAAAACATTCTTGAAAACATAATTTCTAATGCTATACATTGTATTTCACTACCAATTTTTTAAAAATAATATAATAGTTTATCTTTACATCATTTTGTGCCTTTTTCTATCTCAGTCATACTCTCCATGGGCTTCCCATCACCAGATCACCCGTGTGCCATCACCATAGTCTAGTGCATTTCCCTCCCCCTACCGTTTTTGATCCCATTCCCCACTCCATCCCCATAAAATGTCTCTGGTATATAGCTGTTCATGATTATTATTATTATTTTCTCCCGTGGTCCTTTATCCCCCTGCTATGTCACTACCAATTTTTTTAAGTGATTCTTTTCTACATTGTTTCATGTGCTTCAGTTTTCTCAGTATAACTCCAAAGTGAATGTCTTTATACATGAATCTTTAACTATATCTCTGATTATTTTCTAGAAGTGAAATTATTGGGCAGACGTTGTCTTCATTCATATTTTCTCAGTTTTCTGAATTTAAATTGAATTCAACTTCATTTGGAGTTGCAGTTGCACATTTAGGGAGCACGAAATAAAGGAGAAGTTAATGACACTTTAATTTCTAAACTCATCCCATTCTATGAAAGTATTTATCTCCATAGTAGGCTATCTTCTCCCATGTACTGAGCACTTTCCCCTTCCCGTTGGTGTTTGAAAACTTAAAGCTCCTGGACTCCAAATGTTTATGTTCACATTCAATCTACTAGACTAGGAGTAACTTAAAATTAAATTCCAAACATGAGGGAAGGATAGAGATTGGATGTGTATGTTGCAGTGAGGTATAGCCTCTGGAAGGCAGTAGAGAAGGCAGTGGAGATGGCCTCCTCAAGTATTATGAAATGCTAGGCTTCCTTGTGGTTGTTTAGAGCTGTGGTTTAAAAAGTAGGGGGTACAAAATGATACTTTGGGGGATAAAATATATTAGATCTTTTATATGTATTAATATTCATTTTACTTTCTATATGTGTATATTTGAAAGTACATAATGTTATTACACGATGCATTTATAATTAACTTAAGTAAGCACACATGTATTTGGAAGTATACACCAAAATTATTTACTGAAAGATGTGTGTGATAAAAAAACATTTAGAAATCACTACTTTAGGATATGATAAAGTAAGAGTAAGGGTATAGGTCTGCTTCTTTGTAGGCTTGTTTAACCTAAGAGAAATCAGGCAGATTATATTTCATCCTCCTTTGTTTTCCTGTTTTACAGAGATTTGAGGCCCCCAAATATGGGAAATTCTGTGTAATTATGTTGTCACTGCTGCAGAGCCAATCCAAAATTCAAAATGCTGGTTTTTTCTTATAGAATGAGAAATGTAGTTTTTAAGGTTAAAAACTATAGCATCACATGTTAAGAAGGGTGTTTATGGATACTCATGGAGTCCTATAGATTAAAGATGAAAGAATGAGAATGGGTGGATTCACTGAGTATTGGGAATTAGAAGTTTCTTAATATTTTGCCCTATCTGATCCTTTACTGATAAGGAACCAGATAGAGATGAAATGTCATCCAGAGTCTTATAGCTAAGCTTTATAACCCTTATAGCAAGAGCAGTGGGCAAAATTTGTATAACTTTGCCATTTGCAAACAAATGTTTGGCATTGCCTTTAAGTGGAGGGAAGTGCAATTATAAAGTTAATTTTTAATTGCAAATATGGCTTTGTATTATATTCAGAAAGACCTGTAAAAATATATTCACGCCATTTAAATTTATATACCTGATCTTTTCACATATCCTTACTCAGTTTTGTTTTTCAACTTCCTAATCCAAGTATCTCAGATTTTTTGTTGCTTTGGCTTTTGTTTTCTTTTTAGAATATAATCTTTATGTTGTATTAGTCTCCTAAAATTCCTTTCAAGAATTATTTAATCAGCCACTTGTGATCTTCTTAAATAACATCTTTGTTTCAATACCCCACCATCTCTATATAAACCCCATGAGGTATTTTTTTTAAAGATTTATTTATTTATGCATACAGAATTGGGGTGCAGGCCAGGGATGCAGGGGCAATGAGAGGATTTACCAGAGGCGGAGTGGGGAGCAGAACAAGCAGATCGACCAAGTACACTGCTGAGGGGAGAAGCAGGCAAGACAGGAGAGGTCTGCCATGCCATACGGGTCGCCTCTGGGGCTGGGGGTTGAACTCTCACTGAAGTGGCTACAGCCAGCTTGCAGTGCTACTCCCCAACCCATTGCCAGGGAGGAGGCCCCATGAGGTATTTATACAGAGGAATGGCCATTATTTCCTTTTAGCATTTAATCAATTTTCTTGTCAATTACTATTTCTATAAAGAATACTAGAGGTAATTAGAAACTCCAGAGTGATTTTTACATGCTAAAGTTCCTACCCAGGACACAGGTTGCTAAAGCTCCCCAAATGATTTTGAGATTTTTCTTTTCTCTTTCCTCCTTCCCTCTTACTCTGCTGAAGAACATAATTATCTCTGATTATATCTAAATCTATGTCCATCTTGCAATAACTTAGGTGCAAGAGATCTATACAATAAGGAAATTATTCTATAATGATATTGGAAAAGAAAATCTAAGCTAAAAACAGGACTTTATTTGCATTCATGTGAACTATAGTGAATAATTTAAAGCATCATCTTCCCAAAAAAAGTCTATTATTATAAATTTGCAATCAGTAAGCATTAAAATCAGCAAATTTTGATGAGTAGTTTCAAAAAAAAAATAAGTTAGACTGACATGGAATGGCAAACCTGATGCTCAAAGCAAAGAAGTAGACTAGTCTGTACTCCAGAGGCCTGGTTTTGCCACCTCACTTTGAGGGATCTTGAGCAGGTTTCCTGTAGGCTGTAGGATTTTCATCTGTAAAGGAGAAGAGGTTGGACTATTCATTGAGCATTAGCTTTCCTTGGACTATAAAATTCCCTTAATTTCATCCTAAAACAACCCAGTCAGTATTAATAATTTCTGTTTCTCAGAGAAGAGCTGATTTGCAATCTGAAAGTAATAGTCATCACTAAGGACTTGAATAAAATGTTGAGAAAGTTTGAGGTGCACATTAGATTTAACATTTAGTACCACTTCTTAAAGCCTCAG